CTTATGTTTCCAATTATCTGTATTCTGTCTATTGAACTGACAACAAATGCCTTATTGGCAATGACAAGAAGGAGTTGGACCGGAAAAACACTTTAATTAACGAAACGAATTTCCGTGGAACAATGACATCCGACCACATAAAACACGTGCTACTTTTTTCCTTCCCTCTCTCTACTTTCTTAATTTCTTATTTTGTTTACCGCCTAAAAATTTCATTAAAATCTTTAGTTTTTTCCGCCAACAATCTACTAATGCTTTCTTTTCGTCTAACTAAATAAATTCGTGCCAGTCGACTATATATACTGTATATATATTGCTTTAACCTGTTTTTTTTTTTACATTATTAAATTAAACGATAGAAGCAAATTTTGAAGTAACAGAACTCGATCGAAATCGAATTTAAATTTTTAACCGACCCTCTTTATATAAAATATTAGTACTTAAATTTATGAAAATTATATTATCCGTAACTCGATAATATATATTTGGTTTCCAATAACTCTAACGTGATTAAAATTTTTCAAAAAATAAAAAAAATAATAGCAATTTCGTCTTTGTTTTTGAGTAGAATAACAAATTATAAGATAAAGTTACTCACTTGGATAGGCAGCGCTATCTAAATAGACCATTCATTATCTTCGCTTCTGTAGTCGGTGGAATTACCACTTATAAAAGAATATGATGGTCATTTTTATGTTTAAATTTTTAAAGAAAAAACAAGAATATTATGCGAAAGAATCGTTATTCGTCTTAAATTTTTGCATATCTTAATTATAGAAGAATATTAATGTTAAATATAGATGCATTTTAACCGCAGACTAACTTTCTTGTGTCTGTTATCGATCCAAAAAACAAGGTTTATGTTGTTGTCGTGGTATGGGAATTGAAACTAATCCTTTCAGAGAAAAGTTACGATTGATATAATGTTGACCAACTTGGTTAGCAATCGATGCAATGATAAACAAGACCAAGTAAAATAAACATACGCCTATATCTTCTTTTAAAAATTAAAATTCCAATTTAAAATTTATAAATATTAGTTTAAAAGTTAGAAGGAAATTTAATGAATATTGCATTCTTTCATGTTATAACTCTGTTTAAATGTAGAATTTTTTATTTTAGATTTTGTTTACACGATATTTTTTTATTTTATTTTTTGTTTTAAAGAAATCAAACGTGATTCATATGGTTTATAATAATAAATAATTTAAATGTATTATAATTAAAGTAGCTTGTCATCAAAAGATTTTCGAAACCTTTTAATTTATAATTCGAAATATTTTATAAATTGATAGGAAAGATTTGAAATAAAATTTTCAAAAACATATTTCAAGAAAAATTTCAATTGATGGATGCAGCTCGAATGTAAATAATTCAAAGGAAAACTCGGAATGTGACATATTTTCGAGTTTTAAATTGATTTTTTCTTCCTTTTCATTTCTTTTTTCCCCTTCATCAATGTAATTTTACTACAATACTTTAATTAATGCATTATATTAAAATCGGAATAGCTCTAAAAAGCGTTTCTGCCGTCGACTCGACCATCTGTCAATCGAAAGCAGAAACAAAACTATTATTAATTCATATATTTTTTCGTTTTTCTTCTGTCATTTTTAGCTTCAGACTTTTATAATCTTCTTACGCATTCACTTATTGTTCGTTAATCTCCGCACTGATTTTTGTAGAGAATTAAAAATTTGTGTAGGACCAAATCTTGGGCTTATATCGATTGAAACATTTTTGACGTCGGAAAAGAAAGGGATTAAATAAATAAATAGGAAAAAAACATGCTGTATAAGCATAAACGTAGTAGAATTTTGTACAATTATCGAACAAAAGCATTCATTTAAAAGTTTGCGAGATTCGTGACTTATTGCCAAAACACTTGCGTAAGTTTCTCTAAAGATTTCACGTTCTTAAAATTTTCCGGTTTCCTAATTTGTGTTGTTCATTCTTTTATAATTCAGAACCTTCCCCGTGAAAATTACTGGAATTGAAGAGTGGAGATATTCATCTTCATTCCTACCAATTAGTAGCTCACAGTAAACTAGTGCATTTAATAAAAAAAAAAATGTATAAAGTTTGTTTAAAATTTATTTTACATTCTAATGGCATACACTCTTTAAAAGTGAATTACTTCAAATGTATAATTTTCATAGGAGATTCGACGTCATAAAAATTTGTTTTGTATTGTACTTTAAATAATAATTACAATATAATCAAACGTTCGAAAGTGTATTGTAATTAATTTCGAAGAGTTTATGCTCATTTTTAAAAGATATATTCTCTTTCTATCAGTTTTATAACATTTGCAAGCTGCTTTCGGTAACCCGGGAAACAAATAATAACAACGGATAACCTTTAAAACTCGGCAATAATAAATTCTTGATGAGAATTTACTGTTCCTTCCAATTTACTAGCCACATTCTTCAAGAAGCAAATGAATTGAAAAATTTTTAAATGTATGTATATATATATATATATAACGATATTTTCTTCTCGAGCTTACATAAATTAAAATATTTACTACCGATATAAAATATTTTATGACAAATTTCAAATATTTTCAATTCTTTCCGCAAATTGACATATTTATCGCGTGCCATTTAAGGTAAAATGCGTTTTTCATTTTGTCGAAATAAACTAAATTTCAAAGCAAGAAACTATTCGTGCATTCAAATTCTTATTCTAGAATATATATTTCACAGCAGTGTGCAAATAACAAGCAGATTTATTCTCAATATTCCAGGAATCTTGTTCTTGTAGGAATTGTTGTCATAGAAGCGGACAGACTTATATGTCTTCTCTGGATGACTCTTGCTATATTGTATTTATAAAGATTCCTACGGGGTGTATGGGCACATATTTATTATGAAGATATTCAATTTGGCCTCGCCACTGTAACGCATTTGATGTTAGATAATGCAGACAGACGTTGACAAATATTACACACTTGATATTGGATAAAGTTACTAAACTCATTATAGCTAACGTAATATAAGACATAAATAGCATTGGTATCTAAAAGTTGTATAAGTTTCCATTTTGAAAGCCATTAACGATTTTCATTTATAACAGATTCGTGATACAGAGTTGTAATACAACTTCGCGGAGATATACACTAATTACACATTACGTAAAATTTATTATTTTCAAAATAATAAACTAATAATCTACACAATATGCTAAAATTATTTACTTTCTTATAATATTGATGGACGTATATAAAAATTAATAATTAGTTATAAATTACAAGTACTTTGTCTTATACAGAACTTATAACGATTTTTTAAAAATTATTTCAGTATTAATTATGGAATTTGTTTCATATCTTAAGATTTTCTTGATATAATTATCTCTATTATCCAATTTTTATCTAAATAAAAGTTATAATCATATAGGAAATGATATATACTTAAGCTATATTCTTCTTTGATGACTGTCACACCTAGTACAAATATGGATGAATATACATAATGTATTGTATCGCAGTTTTTCCGAAAGGAAAATGATAATTTTTTCTTCTAAAAAAATTGTAATTTTTTTTAGTATAAAGAAATTTTATTTATAAATATTTTCCAGAATAAATAAATTCATAATTTTAAACATTTTAATGAAATATTACATAATTTTTGCACAAAACTGGAATACTAATTTTTTTTCCTTAAAAATTATATATATATATTCGTTTATTATTTTTTTTTAAAAATAATTGATTATAAACAATATTGTCTGGAGGATTAGGACTTTATTTCGTTCTGTTTTTTATTGTCAGTTTCAAAAGAAGATAGACATCTTTCCATTAAAGTTTTCTTATTTGCCGTTTGGAATCTTGCCACATAAAAAAAAGAAAAAATTGTTGCGATGTTTGGAGAGTCTTTAAGAAAAAAGGAAAAAAGAGGCAGATGTTTCAGTGACTCTTAATGCTGAAATTTCAAACAGAATCGACACCAATTGTGGGTTGCACCGTGGTCAGTTTTAACGATCAAGAACTGGGTTTTACATATGGTAACAGCTTGCAATAGTAATTAACTAGCTACCACCTGTCGAGAGATTTGTAGACCTATAGAAATCACGAAGAAACAATGAACTTTGTCCGCAATGTTAATCATTGTTTAATTTTGAGAAGTCCAGTCCCAATGACGTATTAAATACTATTTAAGGTCCGGAACATAAATTACAGATGTTGCGACATTAAACAAACATCTGGCTTTTCAAACGACATTGTTCAGCTTTATCCAGCTTCCTTTATCTGTAAAATTAAACTGTATTTAGAAAATATCTTAACTTGTACTAAGTATGATTTTGTACGTCTTCTTTTAATAATAACTTATATAAAAAAGTATTTCGTATTAAATTTATAAAAGAATTATATTTTTTTACGGTTAAGACATATACGTATATAATCAATTTTGGCATTGGAAATGATGACGTTCGTGCTAATTACTTTACGGTAAAAATAAAATTGATATTCATATCCATTAACATTTTTTTTATCGTCGAGAGTAATTAAATAAGCAAATGAGACTTTTTATCAAAATATACAGTTAATAACAATTAGCATTTTTCGTGTCTTTACAGAATACTGATTTTTATGTCATTCTGAATGCTAATATGTTACGCTTCATGCCGAAATGCAGAACTGTTGGGTGGAGTAAGAAGAAAAATCGGAAGGAAGCATGTTAGCAGATTGGCTCGTTAATATCCAACAATTAAGCCGTAAAGAATGATCCGAGTCTTGGCAAGAAACATAATAATTCGGATATCCAGAAATTTAAATTTTTATTAGCGTAAAAAGGGAGAAAAGATTTACGGGATTAACGATAATAGAGGCAATTTTTCACTAGAGATTTTACTTTTTTAACATCTAATCTTTAGCTTCTAATGATACTACCAGCAAAGAATTAAAGTTAAAAATGTGCAAACAGTTTTTCTTGTTTAAACTACGTTAAATTGATAATGATTAACGATATTTACTCGATTTATTTAACTATAAATAACTGGCATGAACAGTGGAAGCAACGTCATCATTTGTCCTTTATTTCATGAACATTTACATACAGCACCAGCGAATGTTCCATGATGATGATAATCATATAATAATAATAATAGTAATAAATGGTAATAATTAATAATAATAAACAGTTTCTAATATTTTTCTTTTTATCGGATTTCAATATTAGATCTTTTTTTTTGTTCCAGTTAATTGACGAACTACGAATCCATACAGTTTTATGTACACTTATGACATTTCTCAATTGTGTATACAAAAAAACAATGTCCAGGACAGAGGGAACAGAGCCCATACAGATTGTATGTATACTGTATATATATATTTATATATTTATATATATACGGCAGGATATAGTGGACAACAGGTTGAAACGGTATATCTGTCCGCTTGTAGAAATACCTTCACGAGACATTTGTCGATAATTTGGTGATCAACACCATTTTTTTTTTCTTTTTAAATTCTCACAGACGTCGGAAATCACAAACAGTTACGCCGATAACGTAACGTGTTGCTCACAACTGGAGCGAAACAGTATGCTATACGTAGGTCACGTACAATTTACACATTCACAAGAGACATCGCGGATAGCCGTCATGCTGGAAATACGAAAAGGAGATGTTTTCACGGAGGACGTGTATATAAATGATTGTAACGAATGGGTTATTCTGACAGTTTTTCTGCTGTCTCGAGGTACATCTGAAACAGTACTCACGGCGAAAAGACTTCACTAGATAGAGTAAGGCTGACGCATGCGTAGAACCACTGCCAGACGAAAAGCAGCCACAGCTAAGGCAAAGTAGTGTTGGCAAGAAACATCAGAGGAGTATGTATATGTGTATATGTTTAAATAAGTTTCCGAACCAGTTGGAAGAGTTGAATATCATCTCTTCCCATATAACTCTTCTTTCGAGTGATTATCGGAAGCTTGTTTGTTTGTTTGTTTGTTTTTCTCGGAAAACTATTGGTTGATTGAAGGCTTCAACATTTACATTGACGTAAATGCAATTTTGATAATGCCACCACGGATTCAGGGGTGTCACCTACGATGTTTTTGAGACGATTTATGAAACAACACGTTAGCAGGGTCGTCCGCTAATTCGGGATACAGTTCCACCGAGTGGTAGTAATCACTACGATATCCTGGCACCGAACTCGAACTTAAAATATGTTCTTTTTCTTTCTCTGTCCATTCTCGCGAACCTCTTTGATTAGTTAATATCATCTCGCGCTCTTGAGCCCATCTCTGACCCACTGCGTGTTTTTTGGCGTGTCTCAATAACCTCTGCCTTTCTTTTTGTAAAGTACTTCCGTAACGAATATTCAGGATCGAGTGATCGGCGTGCACTCTGATATCGACATGTTGATGCCCCGATCGTTGATCTTCTACTTTACTTTCGTGAACCGTAGTATTAATGGCAGTGCCTAATCTCTGTAGTTGATTAAGATCGTCGTTTACTCTCCAAGTGCTATCTTTAACAAAATAAAACACGTCTTGTCCGTGCATCACCAGATGAAGATCTAAAATATATGAATTATTAAAAACTGAAGTAAAAACATCTCGGCGGATAATTTCTGCTTCGTTCGAAGATCTAACTATAGCTCTATTTCCTAATCTAGATACTGTTATGCCAGCTCCGAAAGGAACACTTTGTGTGCTGAGCTTAGGAAGCACAGTTTCGAATAATTGTTCACGTTTGACTTTTGGACGTTCGACACTAGATATTGTGGCAAAGTTCTTCAGTTTCTGTTGAACGGCACAGGCAAAACCGGATACTAAAGGTACCGAAGGCATATCGATAAACAATGGCGGTGGCTTTTTGGGATTGTTTTCTCCAAAGATGCTAGATGCTGCTAAATCTAAGACGCCCATTTCAATTCCCTGACTGCTTATCCATTCGGAAAGATCTGAAATGGAGAAAAATATCTTTCATTAAGTTTACCCGAGTTATAATTATTTATTTTCTTAGAAATTTTAGCTTTAAAACAGAAAGTATTATACTAAGTTTTATGTCTTTAGAAGAATAATATTGAATATGCACTGTAAAATGATAAATCACAAAACAAAACAATAAAGTATGGGCTAAAATGAATTGTTCGGAATGGAGACGAGTTATCCAGTAGATCCAAGCATAAATCACATTTTATAAAGAGAAGTGATGATCCGGAGAAGATAGAGCAGCGACAGATGGAAGAAGATAGACATCTAAATGGAAACCGAATTGCTTTCCAGCCAGACGATGTGTCGGTATAGTACTATTTTAGTACGAATAAGAAACCTTTATTGTTATTAAATTATACAAGTCATTGATTTCGTGCGCTATTCTGTTTATTCAACAGATGTTAAGTCTCACACTTGAGCACTATCCCGTACAAAGCGGTTCTTAATGGGGCACAAACACGCATCTCACTTATCTCTTACCGAGAATTCGTATTTTTATGATAGCTTTACCGAAACACAATCGATTATATTAATCGTTATTGGTATCATCTGGGAGCACATTGAGTTACTTTATCTTTTATCTAAAGTATGCATATATTGAAAGAAACATGTTTATGCCTACACAACACGAACGTATTTGTATCTGTACAGTACATGCTACGTATTTTCCAAGCATAAAATTAAAAGAGAAAAATATGCATTAAATCCTTACATGAAAGACAAATTGAGTGAAAAAATGTTAGAAATCACGCAAATGTCACCATACCATAGCAATTTGTCATCGCATATTAGTTAATGCAGCCAATTTGAACTCGCATTTATATACATAAAATTCCAGTTCACAAAAATTTATTGCAAACACAAGCAATAATTTAATTTTCATTAAACGATGCTTCTTCTACCGTTAAAAAACCCATTAAAATAATTCTATGCTGACTAATAAAGTATTTTGATCTCTTCTAATCGTAAAATTTAATGATATTAGGCCTATATGGAAAAGAAATGGAAGTTTTTTTATTCTTGTCATTGCATTTTAAGCACTGAAAGGCGTGGAAAGTAGAAATTTAGAGAAAGTTAAGAAGATTAAGAACTTCAAAATGAATCACGCTCCTATCGTTCTCTTCTTGCAAGTACTCTTAAATTATATGTGTAAAGCATTGTTAGAGCACAATATTTTCTTGATACTTTGAAGAAATTGAATTACAAACAATAAAAATTTTGAGTTCTAAGACTGTCACAAATTGAATTTTTCATCTTTTCAATCTCTATTAGACGTTATTCAAGTGGAAAAACAGTATTTCCTGTCAATTTTTATTTTTCCAATTACTCGCGAATTGTTCATTACATGATATATAGGTATAATATTAAACTTAGTCATAAAATGGACATATTCTTGTATCTAAGTCTTCCTCTCTCAGAAGCTAAATTTAATTTTTTTACTATAATCCCGACGAGAAGAATTGTAGAAATAAGAAACTGTAACAATGACTTCAATGTCAATGAGATGTGGAATTCATTTTACCCCCTGCGAAGAACTGGCTTGGCAAACCCAACTAACCGCCAGACATAACAATTCAACCAATACCAAGAGAATGTCGAGTTTTACGAGGCTGTTTTCTTCATTTATAGTTGGCTTCAGTTCGCCTTTCTGAGCAGCTGCAAAGCGAAGTCACTTCTCTCGGCAGAAAATAGTTTTTGCTATTTTACGAGTACTGACATATTATCGACATGGAAATTAATGATTTAATTATACTTACGCAATATTAATAGAAAATGGCTATTATTTTCGCCAAATAGCATATATAACACTTTCATTTCGAGATATTTTTGTTTTTGAAATGTTGTTAAAAACATTTCCTTATTAATCAAGTTAACACTGTTTAAATATTTGAACGAGAAAGGAAGAAAGATAAACACGTCCTAATGAAAGTATTAAAATAATTATGCAAACATTTCAATTTCTGAAACCCTTAAATAATGACAGTAAAAAGTTATTTACATTTAAAGGAATCTAATAATTAGTTTGCAGACAAAAGTACGTTGAACCCACCTAGCTTATTATGGAGTTTTCTATCGACGTTGACGGGATCGTTTCTGCTGAATCGATAAAGGTGCAAGTTTCTCGGATCCATTACTTTATAAAGAACGTCATCCCACCTGGGTGTCAGCCATTGTCCCACCAGAGAATCGTAAATTTTGTCTCCAAAATGTACCATGGTGGTTAACGGATCGAAAATTCCTTTTTGGAAATCTACAGGTAAATAAAAACTGGATCTGGAATCGAACAAAACGTGACCGTAAGGACCTCTTTGAATTTCTTTAACCACTTCTCCCGCCTTATCGAATATAAACAGAGGGCTGCCATTGTGATCCGACGCAACATAGTAGCTATCTTTGTTGACGGTGAGATAAATTGGTGCGTCCGTGTCATCGTAAACTATACTCAAAATCCTACCGTCGGCGTTATTATACACGTGTGTTACTAGTTGAGGACGATCGGGAATTGCGTAGAAAAATTGGGTGACGTTGCCGAAATGATCCTTTCTGACAGACAATCGACCTTTAGCGTCGTAATAATACAAAACTTCGTACTTTCCGTTCCTCGAAGCTCTTACTAATTCTCCTCGTGTATTATAGGAGAATCCCTCTTCGCCTCTTTGAATGACGAAACCTTTTCCATCGACGACGTAAGGCGTGTCTCCGAAGCTTACGATTCTGTCTCCGATATCGTGTAAAATGTCTATTCGATTTCCCATGTATTGCATCGTAACCAAGTTGCCGTTTTCGTCGTAGGTGAATTTCCAATGGTCTCCTCCTACCATTTCGATTAGCTGCCCGTCTTCGTCGTAGGAAAAATTCTGAACGGTAGATTTGGTGGGAGCGTGTGAAGTGTACATTTTTGACTGGGTGACCGAGTTCCTGCTGTCATATTGTATTTCCATTCTGAATACTTCCTTATCTCCAATGACAAGGGATGTCTGTCTCAGACGATGAAGTGCGTCTACTTGTTTAGAAATGGAAGCTTTTCCATCTGACAGTACTGTTTCGTTTTGAGTTCTGTCGAACAATTTAAAGTCGCCTATCTGTTCTATTCTACCTGTTTTCGGATTGTGACGGAATTCGATCGATTGCAACTGTAAAGTACCGATTCTCGGCGTGAACATTTTTACTCGAAACATTCGGTCGTATTGATAATGAAAAGCAGCACTGGTCATGTGAAACGGAGAAAAATACTCCTGTTTCCAGCTTGTTAGCAATGCTCCATCGTAAGCGTAATCTGTTTTAACGGTGACGTCGTTTCCGGAACAGAATTCCGATGCCACAAATCCAGAGGATGTGTAATTTCTTTCGACCTTTCCGCCTCCATAAATAATGGCACTGACATAGCTTTGATTGCTGTATCGATATAAGATTCTTCCCTGATCACCGGGAAATATCTTCATGGTGGGTAGTCTGTGATCGTTAAAGTGAACAACGTATGGTCCACTATTACCTGGTGGTATATAAAAAAGTTTGTAAAAACCAATAGATATCAACGATAAAAACGAATGGCGTGTTCCTTTGGGTGTAGTGATGTATTTTAAGCCTCCGTTATCGTCGTAATGAAAGGTATATCTTCTTCCACTGGGCAGCACCACTTTACTCGGCTGAAAAAAAGGAGATTATTATAGCGAAACTATTTATATGATAAAATTAAACGTATGTTTTTCTATCAACAGAATTACCATGGTTTTTCCATCGTAGCTATATCTCATGGCTGCATTATCCGGGTACTTAATCTCGGATAAATGTCCCATTCTGTCGTAACCAAACGTTTCTGCAAGTGGGCCTTGTTGCCATCCCGATAGTCTCCCCAGTCTATCATACATGACGTTCAGAGGGAGTCTGGTGTCAGTAGGTAGCCACTGGATAGGTCGACTAGAGCTATCGTATTGGACCACCAGGAACGGTCTTCTGGAGCTATTGTAGAAGATCTCTCTGGATGCAACCCAATCGTATTCCACTGTTAGAAACTGGAAATCATTCACCTATACAGAGCGAAATGAGGAAATAAACGGTCTCATAAATATTACATGTTTTGAAATCTTGACGTGTTGTATAAATGTCTATTTTATAGATAGATAGGGAATATATACGTATCTGAAAGCTCGCGGCTTCTACCGTTCCTAAAAATTGCACATTTACGGTTTCCAAATTTATACCAGCTTATAAATCAAAAGTTATTGTTAAAATTATGGATTTTAGATTCAAATTACCAATTTAACGATTTCAAAGGCTGTAATTTAACCATATAAAGCCGAATTTTAAAAAGAAAATTGAAATAAAAACTTTGGCTGATTTGAAAGGTAATAAAAAAATTACGCACATCATAACTGTTTCGTTTTTTATAGTTACAAAATTTTTTATTTGCAAATCGTTAAATAAATTCAACTGATAGCTCTTTTCGAAAATTATATCAAAAGTATTTGACGACAAAACTATTATTTTATTATGTGTCTATTCGTTTGGTTCGGATAGTGTACATTTTTACCTCAAATTCTCGTAATTACTTCAGTTTTGTAATGAGAAATTCTAAAGAATGGCGTCAAATTCATGTAAAAATGCGCACTATCCAACCAATCGAATACATTGTGAGCAATTCTGTAATACATATGTATGTATATTGGCTTAAATTTAAAATTAAAATTTTTTGGAATTTGCATTATATATAATTGAACTTATGAGATGACTATTATTGCTATATTTGAAATTTATACATCTGATTTATTCACTTTGTTTGAAAGGAAAGTTACATTTTATGTAGAAAGATATTTTGAGTTAAAACATAAGATTGATTACCTTTAAAAGTATCAAGATATTAATTTAAAAACTATATGATTGATCAAATACTTTCTCTAATAAAATTTTTATATTTGTGGTGTAGTAAACACTAGTATTGTGTTTTATTCCAAAGACACATGGCAAATTTTCCATCAAATTCCTTTATTAGTTGAGCCGATACNATTAAAATTTTTATTAGCTGAATAATTTTATTTATAAATGAGTTTTATTAAACAAAACTACTAATTTTAATAATGTAAAATATTTTAAAATGCTTTAGTATTAGCACATAATATATTTAAAAACAATTGATCACATGGCTAGCTCTCTTATAACAGTTATCATTAGAAAATATAAAGATTATACAGTATACAAATACTATACAGACTGTATAGCATATAAATACATAGAAGTATATATTATCTGTGCAACCTGCATGCAGATTGATAAATAAATACAGTATAAATTTATATATTCGTTTTATTACGAGCTTTTTCTCCTCGTTAATAAATTTACTTTAAATTAATTTTTAAAAAAGTTCAATTATTTAAGTATTACTTTCAAACTCTAAATAAAAAAAGAGTCATGAATAATCGTTCTATTATATTTTTTAACTTTTAAAAAATAAAGTTAAAATCAGAATTTAATGTACAGTACTTGTATTTTAGCCTTTTAACTAAACAATCGAAAACAGTTAGAAGAAAGTTTCTTACAGATAAAACTCTTTCGACAGCCGATATTCCTCGATCTTCCTTATCTTTATCACGTTTGCTGTACTTTAAATCGTAGTTCCATTCAACAACATTAGTTGGCTCTACACCCAAAAATGTAGTTTGTTTAACAGGAAGTGGAAACATTCCCGCTTGGACCGGAAGCATTTCTTGCAGAACGAAATGTGAAGCGGGCTCCCAAACGACTCCCTGCTGCCACGGCGTTTCTATTTCTATGGCCCCATCTTGATGAAGTTTAGCTTCAATCGGAATGCCTCCTGTAGAAACAGAAATCATTTAAATGCTAAAAATGAGAATTTTATCATAAATAAAGAAAAATAGTTCTAACCTTCCCGCGTGATGACACTCGTTCCTTTTACGGTCACCATCAATTGACTGCCTTGTTCTTGATCGACTGATAAAACCGAAGCACCGACGGGGCTAAGATCAAAGGTCAACGAGGTCACCCTTCCACTAGCTCTTACAATGTCGGTGACTCGACCGTTTTCATCGAACAGATAAAAGAACGATCTCCCGGTAGCATCTGATCTACTGACTAATAGTCCCAGGCTATCGTACTCGAACTTTGTCTCTAGATTATCGGGATCGACTATTGTTTCGAGTAGTCCTTGTTTGGTGACTTGGACGCGACATTTCTGTCCTCTAGCAGTTTCTATGGTGTGAAGACTATTTCCCGAATCTCTCAAAAAGGACACTTTATTGCCAGAAGCATCCGTCACTGCGGAAAGCTTTCCAAAACTAGTATTTACATTGTAAAGAAAGGTATAGATTGTCTTACCGGTTAAAATACTTTTAGTACTGGTATGTTGACCGTATTTATTAAAAACATAAATTTCGTGATTTTCGGGATACGCTATCTGAAATTCGAGTTGATCGTCTGGCTGAGGGAGATAAGGAATAGCAGATAAGATTCTGAGGCTGCCTTGATCGGCGAGATGAACTACTCCGTCGCTAGTGACCGTGAGCGAAGATATCGAATAAAGTTTAGTGTCTTTGGCTAAGGCTCCTTCTTCGTCCGCTGCACACGTGCAGTTCTGTTTTTCGCATTCGCAACCACCTTCTTTTCCTGCAAAATGTAGCAGCTCTCCTTCCGGTGTCATCTTGCGTATTCTATGTACATTGTTCTTGTCTACTTCGGCGATGTACAATTCTCCCGTTGGACCGAACGTAAAACTAATTAATGAGCCGAGAGCAGCTTCTCCGATCATTCGCGTCTTTAATGTCTGATTGTGGTTGAGTTTACAATACACGGGTTGTCCCGCCACTACCATAACACGTTTATCCTTCGTTAACTTTAAGACCATGTGATCGTCGATAAAATAAAGGGAACCATCCAAAGGGTTGATTGCCAGATCTGTCGGCCATCGCAGTTTCACCTAGTTAAAAAAATATATACACATATATATAATTTAAATAAAAAATTACATACTTAATTAGAGCAGAAAATCAAAATATTAATGCATATGAATTTTCACGTGTTCCTCGCGAATGGCGGGTGCATAAAATGTGTAGCATTGAATCCGGAAGAAAAATAATTTGTTTTTTGTGTAAATTTATTTAATCGATCATAATAGGAAGTTAAATCTTAATAACCTCCGAGCCACTTTTTCATGATAGAGGCTGTTAGCAACGTCTGCAGAAAATTCGGTTGGCTAAGCGATTGATTTCCTTATTTTTTATTATATTAAAATAAATGGCCGAGCCATTACATAACTCTCGAAAACCTAATGGGGATTTATCTGACAGTAATAACTCGGCAAATAAATCACGTCGCACTCGTTTCTTGAAAAGAAAAAGGGCACAAACCTCCTCCACTTTCAACGTTCCCGAACATGGGATCGGTCTCCATTGCCTTTTGTGATGATGATCTCCTATCAGAGTATGGATGATCCCTCGATTGTCCACCATCCGGATGTTAGCACCGTCGGCGAAGTACAGAGTATTATCGACTGCAACTGCCATGCCTGTGGAATAAATAATATTTAAGTAAAAATTGTATTTTTTTAAAAATTTTTTCCTTAATTATTTAAAAAAATCGCTGATGAATAAGGATTCTTCAATTTAGTAAGTTAATAAATAATTACGTTTGACGTGGAATTACTAGTTCACAATGTAAACTTATTTTCCTCTTTATAAATACAACTTTGAAAGTAAATTAAATGGGTATTAACTCCATCAAATCTCATTTAATTGAAAAGTTTGAGAGTGGGAAGACTGAATCTGTTGCTCCTATATATGGGATTATACTAAATGTTCCCGAAAAGATGTTGGTCTTGTGTGTTCTAATGGAAAAAAAGTTTAAAATATCCAAGACAAACACTTTAGGGCACATTTAGACAACGAATTTGTTTTGTCAAGCTTATTGATAATAGACGAGCATTAGAGAGACGGAGAGTAAACTGGATGGATGAAAGTTCTTCCATACTTTCCCATGTTCTATCAACAAATATTTGAACAGAATTTGGAAAACAGCTTTCAATGACGTTTAAAATTTTCAACAGAACGAAAAAGATGTAAGAGAATAATATCTAAACTGCAATCGTCAAAGGAAAAAAAGTACAGTTTACCTTTGGGATAAGAGAGGCGAGCTTCTAGCGCGGGTCGACCATCTCCGCAGTTATCTTTGTCTCGAGGAAGACACCTTTCTCCACTACCCACAACAACATCGAAATTCGAATCGGGATCTTCCACTTTATCCAAAGAGTGCACTCGAAGGATTTTGTGTCTTTCGGGATCCGAGATATACAGGTGACCATCAGTGGGACTTAGTGTTAAATGATATTGATTCGAAACCTCGCTAGTTCTGTAAATTATTAACGGTTACACCAATAAATATATTTATTATCGCGTCGATTTAAAATTACATTATTATAGTAACCTCATTCGAAATACGGTGTACACTTGTCCGTTGCTGGTTATGCGTCTAACTAGGTTATAGTCTCCAACATACACGCTGCCGTCGGGTCCGCTAGTTAGAGCTACTGGAGCTAGGAGTTTATTATCTCGAGCTAAACCATTACATTCTGGACAGAGGAGAGGACGTTGTTGGCCATTTCCCATTAAAACAGAAATGACTCGAGGTTGTTGACGAAAGTATATGGTGGCACCATCACCCTTTTGAAGAACTCCTGCGAAACGAGAGGAATATTTTACAAAGAGATTAAAATATTTATTGATTTACGAAGACGGATAATTAAATTACACCTACCCTCGTGGAAGTTATATCGGTGATGCACATCCAAATTCCAAGCTCCTAATTCGGATATATCCATGTCAAACCCTCGGAGACTGGTTGCCCTGACTGTCCACACAACCTTTTGACAGCTGATGTACTCGTATCCAACGTACACTGGAACATTAATTAGAAAAGGTCATTGGCATCTATCGATTGGGTTCCGCGTCATGATGAATGATGCAGGTTAAAGTGCAACAAGACGCTCTATGAATATGACTTTAGAACAATAATTTTTATCGCTTCAGTCACGTGCAGGGAATGTCACGTCGACTCTCGACATCATTCATTGTATACCAATTTCCCGTCCAATAAACAGATAATATCGTCTTCTTTTGTGCAGCTCGCTGGTGCATAATAATAACGTTTTAAAATAAGGAGATAAATGTTAGTAATTTGGGGAAATAATTAATTAATTATTAATCATATGCTTCTCTAATTATTAGGTGGTGCGATAACGCGACGCGAAAAATTCTGAAATTGATTAAAAATACAAAATGTTAATCGACTCACCTCTGGCTACGGTTAAACCGTAAACTTTCTGTTTGTAGATATTCCTTTTGTTCCAAGCAAACGTGTACTTTATGTCGGGATCGGCTTCGAATGTTTTTTCTAATAAAATACCTTCCACTACTACTTTAAGATGGACTAATCGAAGTGTTTCGGGAATTACCGAAGGTGTTAATTGAAGATGGATGGTGGATAAATAGCCTTGAGCGTGACTACTTTGATATATTAAATGTAAATCGGAACCGGGAATAGAAATACTTTCTTGAAGAACCTGAAGGCAAAAGAAAAAATTTGCACTTTTACAAGAAAGAAAAAGAAAATTATCGTCTTAAAGAATAGCAAACGGTACAAAAATAACATAAAACCAAATTTTGGCAAATTATTAATTTTCAAGAAGTCCACGATTAACGTCATTAATCGTATCGTTTCTCGTGACATTTAATTATCTCCAATAAATTTCAGAAATGCAGTTAAAGAACCATGACGAAAATGTAGTCAGCGCCGATAGTATCATTTATTTTTTTAATCCGACTTTTTTCTCCCTTGTCTGCAAATAAATTCTGCAGATTTTCCGCCCAATTTCCTCCCTCCTTTTCATAATGACATTCCGTCACCTTCGCTTACTAATTCCGGCAAAATCGATCGTACCTGTGTCTCCACCACCACAGAGCTGGTAGTGGTGCAACCCCCTTGAGATCCTGGCCTCCAAGTTTGGTAGACTATTGGCTTCATCTGATCGTAATCATGATCTATGCAAGGTTCTTGTTCTTCACCAATCTCTCCTTGTTGCTCTTGCTCGATTGTGGCCGACATTGTTACTGGAGACATTACAATGATGGCGTTCCATGGCACCATAACTGTTCTTTTGATTGGGTGGAAAGGGTTCCTTTGGAACTGAAGGGTAATAGCACCACCACCATTAACTAATATGTCAAACCTGCGAAAAATTCAATTTAACATTTTTATTCTTTGCCGAAAAAATTTTATGACGAAATTATAATAAATTAAAATGAATTTTTTTTTTCAATTTAATCATCGAATATTTTTTAAAATATTAACTAGAATATAGCTTAGCTGCGAGTAAAAAGTTTCTAGTTAAATTTGACAATGTAACCATTATAATTGAGTAGATAGAGAGTGGAAGTATTAAAAAATCTCTCAATTCGCTTACAACAGAATGAAAGAAGACTCTATACTCGTATAAAAACAAACTTGTTACGCCGAACTGATGTAATTAGCGCCTTTCTGTAGCCACGGAGGTGAATTACAATGGCAGTAATTAATGAGAAGCAGGAAGAAATTCAAAAAAACCCTTACAATATTTGTTAGAGAAAAGCAAAAGAATGAAAAATTAATTGCGAAAGCGCATGAAAAATTACTCAACAGATGACGATTTGGTCAAGAACCAATTAGAATACCTCGGTTTAATTATTAGTACAGTTTTTTTTAAGACGGTAACAGATTATATACTCTAGGTGTTAAGAATGGTTATTTTTTTTTAAAAGAATGGCAATGTTTTACGAATAATTTTTTCTCTCATAGATAGACCTATCTATAAAAAGTGCTGACGAATAAGTCACATCAATAACAAGATAAAAACCTATAGCCTTTAGAAAATCCTACCTTTCGGCTTACGATAATTTTATCAAATACAATAAGAATTTGTACAAGAAAGAAAAAAATACGTCTAATCCAATAAAAAATTCATTCTTAACTTTTAGATTTGGAGTAAATTTTAAAATTACATAAGAGGAAGAGAAAACGATTGCAAATTTTAATCGATTCGAATGAGTTATCATTAAAATACTTTAGGAGTACTTGTATGGAGAATAATTTGTGTCGGTCTGCAGTCTAGTGATAAAACAGGCATTGTAGGATATCGCTTCAGACAAAGTAGTGAGATATTAGTTCAGTAAGCCATGTTTAGAAGTTTGTGCCGAATTTACAAGGCAGTAATTACAACGATGTGCTCGTGATAAAGTACAGACTGTAACAAGCGTGTGACTGTAATGAAAATGCGTTAGGTAATAAATTAACTTTCACTCGTTTTGCTTCACATACTAAATATTTCAGTACATTTTTACTAAAAAAAGGTGCTAACAATCGCGCCATGTAATATTCCTAAACAATAAATCAAGTGAGTTTTATCTGATGGATGAACAATAATCACTTGTGATTTTTGTTATTTCTAGTTTAATTGTAGCGGATGGAAGTTATTTAGTGTAATATATGTATAAGAAGAGTGCTACTTACCATCCATCGCTCCTGGTTAGAGTGAAGCCGAATTGAGGGTCTGTGGCAACACTGACCCTAAGGCCGGTGAGACCATTGCCCTCACGACTTATAACCCGTCCCCTTACAACGGCTACCCGGCTGAGAAATAGAAGTTTAGGTGAGCAAAAATACAAAAAAATATTCCTTTAAAGAATTAAAATGTAAAAATAAAGTAGTAAAAAGTTGTTAATTTTAAGAAGATAATCGTTAAGAATTTATTTTTAAAAAGATTTGAAAAATAAATAAAAATGAAGTTTAGAAGTACATTTAAAGAAAGGCAGCTGAGTAAAGAAAAGAGGTAACTAAAGATAATTTAAAAGTTGTCGCCTTTAAAAGATTTCGAGATACATATAACAATCCTACCTAGCAGCATGCAGGCAAATACTTTATAGGAAAGTATTCTTTTGAATATGGAAAATCTTTCAAAGGCTTTCCACAAAATTAATATTTTCTAATTTAATTTGATTACATTTAAATTCTTTTATTATTAAACTGTTTATTAAGAATTTTTTAAAACTTCTTAAATCTAGGTTAAAAACTGGAATGAAAGTAAGAGAACAGAATGACGTGCACAGAGCAGGGGTGGTTATGTACAATTGAATATATGATCAGTCCCTGCTTGCAATCCATGCTGCGCCATATCCAGCTAAAACGTGAACGAAAATACCTCTGACGACAGCATGACATGCAGTTTTTGGCAACAAGCCATTTCCTTTCATCAACAACTGTCGGAATGAGGTCAGCATGCCCTTGGAAAAGAGGTTGGGAAAATAAAAGAGTAAGAATTTTAGCTTGGCTTGGCTTTAGTTGACAAGTACAGCTTATTTAGCTTCGCAACAGCTTGTTGGAATAGATAGCAGGTGTAAATAATAGAAACAGTTTGCTCGTACTGAAGGAAAAAAAATCTATCATCACCATCATCATACGACGACTAATGGAGCATGCATCACTCGTAGTTCTATTAAAAAAATCATCTAGTACGATTTAAAAACTTTTATCAAACTCCTACATCAGTCAATAAAGCTTTGATGTGCCAGGAAACTTGTTTGAGCAGACTATAACTGCATGGGATTAATAGGATATCAACCATTCCATTTCTTCTCTATTCTAGGTCATAGGCGAGCATGCATGCTGCTAGAGGTTTTGGTGGTATTATAGCTTTCATACACAAGAGGAAACTGGGATATGGGGTGTTGGTACATACAGGAAACACAGAAACACATCAACACATTTCGTCCCTAAACGGAGCGGGTTAAATATACGCACAGATGCTGGCCCTGCATGTCACCACAGACAACAAACAAGCAACAGCTCGCACACGAGCCTTCGTTACTGAAGATATTTTCACATAGGACCAAAAACACATAAAGGCTATAAGGCATAACCAACACAAAATTGTGTGTCACACGGAGCATATGTAACACCAGGGTACTACCGGGATAATTTGAGGACACAAAGGTGCTCTATATAAATATAGGAGCGGTTGGCTAGGTGAATATCTGGTATCGAAAGCACAGAGTGGGTATCGGAATTAAGAAATTGAGAAAGAGACGAAGAAAGAGATAGAATATGTGTGAAATAGGTTATTAGCAAGCAGCAGTTGCAAGCGTAATAGCAGGATAAGAAAGGTTGGTGGGCCAGTGTTACTCACCTTTTGACGAAGGCACTCCAGAACTGGCTGCGTGGAGGACACGCGGACATAGCAAAGCAGGGACACGGAATATATACAGTCAGCTCTAATGACAGGTTGATAGAAAATCCAATTTCACATACAATCACGCACACATTCATACAACGTCGTTCCATCTTAATTCCGCATATAATGTATATATTCCTCTAATATCCAACGGGGAGATTCGAAAGAAATCGATTAAATTTTAACGAAATGAAGACGGATCGACGCCAACTTTCGAAAAAATGATTCATCTCATACCATATCAAGTAATGTTACAAATGACATTTTCAAACTGACATGTAAATAAATATACATTAATTATAGAAATGTATATAATAATTTAATATTAGATTTGTATTTTAAAAAATCATTTAGGTGCTTAGAATTCCATTAACACAGAACATATAAGGACACATAGGAAGGTATTTCGGCTGCGCTCGAGGCGAGCCACATAGAATTAACAATAATAAACCAAAGAGATACGTCTTATAAATAACACAAACATATAATACATAAAACCCAGAAATACATGTAAGGACTAGACAAACTCCGTGTGATCACTACGAGACAAAAAGACACAGACGAACACATACACATATAGACAACTACGAAAAATGACTTTTCCGTAGATGCCAAACACATAGATGGACGGAAACATGAAACAAAGAGCGAAACACAAACATTAGGGTATGACGTTTCGACAAACATATATAAATTCCCTCTATAATCAATATACATATATAATTATTTAATTTTATCCAAAAATGACATACATATATATATGATTGTTAATGAAAAAATATTGTCATTTCCCCATTAATTATATTTACGTATCTCATTTGGCAATAAAATTAATGTCTTTACTTTTAAAATTATTTAATAAAAATGTAATATTTACTTATTTTTTAAGTAAAAAAGTCTAATAAAATTACGTTAAATAATATTTTTGAAATTTCAATTTAACAAGAATTATTTTTTATAAGACACGATTCATTTAATCGAAAACAAGTGAACGTACCTTTCGGAATATTCATCTCTGTGTGCATAACTCTGCACACTTTGTTCCTCGATGAGGAACTTCATTTTTTGATAAAACGAAGCAGTGACAGCTGGTGGCTGCTTTCTTAATAATATATCTAAAGGATCGGGCGAAGAAAGGCACATGAGACTGTCCTGACATTCTTCTCTGGCACAACACTCGCTGTCTGCACAATCAGTTAAACCGTCTGAAAATAAAAAGCAAACAATCGCCATTTGCCTTCATAACCTATCATCATTTCAATATTTATACTTTAAAGCCTTTTATATAAATAAGCCAATGCTTTTCTCTTCACAAAATGTGCTTACAATTCAATTTAAAGAATTTAATATTTCGAAATTTTATTTTACATGACGTTTCACGTTCTTTTTTTATCATTATATACCAGAGATAGTGCTAGAATAATAATAGAAAAATTATAAATAATCTATTCCTCCAATCATTGTAATCGACTTTTCAAAGATGACACGTATTGAAAATAGTTCGATTATTAACTTCATAAAAACGTCTATCCTTTAAAATTCATCGAATTCTTTAAAACTATTTAATGCTAAACATCAAATATTCATTAAATTATCTCAAATTTGTAATAAAATTTTATGGAATAATTTTTAAATTGGCAAAATCTTTGGTATGTCTCCAATATTTCTCTCTGCATCCATAAACTTAACTTTCATCATCAACTAGAGTTATTTATTTAAAAAAATTCTTTTTAAACAATCTTATAAAAATATGTGTAACATACATTTTAAACAGTTTTTCATTTAATTTTATAAAAAGCAATATTAGAAAAACTTCATTTAATATTACAGGAGCAAACGGTGTCTAGGATACGATTATTGGAAAATTTATCAGCGATTTTCATTCTTAATTAATAAACAACAAAAGCTGGCGATATCAAAACTTCAAGATTATCGAGATATTTATAACTGCTCTCAGATATTCGTTAAAATTTAATCAATTTAGCAAAAAAAAGGAAAAAAAATCTTTATTTTCAAATTAATTTTTGAATAAAATATAACCTCTATAATTTATAATCACAATAAAAAATTTATTTTACTCTTATATAAAACGATAAAAATTGTCTAGTTAAAGTAACGAGCGATTGAATATGATTTTTCTGAACTTATCATTATTCTAAAAATATACTTTAATGATACCCAATCTCGATTTATTGCCCAATTGTATACTTTAAAGACGATTGAATACGGAGATACAAAATTTAACTGTATTTTATGCATCGATAGGAGGTCTTATTAAAGTTTTCTTGCATTCACAAAATATCGTAATTTTAAAAAATGACTACAGACAGGAGAACAGCATTTCAGCTTGTATTCTTGTCAACGATGTTAAAAAAACCGTGTTTTTTCATTAAGAATCTTGTAGCAGATGTTGAACATGCTTAATATGCCGTTACCGGATATTGGGACAGTTTCGGATAACTAATGGACTCTCTTCAGTTACCGATCTATATCAGTCTGAAACTGAAGCATCGCTTAATATGATATCTCTATCATACAAATGCAAGATAATATTATAAGTAAGAAAACCGTGTTAAAACTTCTATAACAAATGTTAAAAACACTACTTTATTTGACTTTTTAACATTATATTTTCTTCTCTAACTTTTACGCCGTTTTAATAATCTCACAAAACAACAAGAAAAAAATGTTTATACCAGATAATTAGGTGCTTTGTTTAAGTAAATTAATTTAAAGAATTTATTTTTCAACGTCTCGTTTGTGTAAAAGGGAAAACGGTATTTTAATTCTAAACTGATTTAACTCGATAAATTAACTTTCCACATTTATAAATTATTAATGTATTTCATCAATCTTTTTATCTTGAAAACTGTTGTAGTGAGTAAAATTAAAAACAGTTTTATCTCAAAGTTAACATGACATCGTTGGTTTTACGATCACGTAAATCCTTTTTACCAATTAAAACGAAACTAACAAAAGGCCATTAATGTTTAACAAAGAGGCATCTATTAAGTTTTTGAATGACACATACTTTAAAAACTCTTTATGGCCTAATCTGATAAGTAAAAGAAAAACCTTATCCTAACATTCTCCTTTATTTTATAACATATACATTAAAGAGAAGTTAAGGAGAAAAAAGGTTATGCTTAACAGCCTTAATAGTTATTAAATTTAATGTAATTAATGCATTTGTTAAGTAAATACAATTTGGATATCGGACCATTAGGGTAAGGATGGTCTAAGCCGTTGCATTTATAACAGCTTATATACTTTGTAATTCAATACGAGGATGGTGTGATGTCGGTTTAACTGCCCGGAATCTTAACAGCCATTTCCAATATTAAGCCAGATTCCAATATATTTTAAGCAGTTAAAGCTGCAACAGTTTAAATTTAATCTAACACAAATTATTATCCTTTTAAGAAGTTAACTATCCGCAGCTATTTTTAACGTGGATCCGGTAGTAGTAATGGTACGTTGTAAAGAAGTATTTATCTAGAGAGCGTTTCGTGCTAGGTGAGTGTCTTTATTAGCATATATTTCGAGTGAAAACCACGTGGGAAATTAAACAACAAAGTTGCTTTTGTATGTTTGTTGCCGTTGAGATAAAAGAGTTGTCAACGCAATCACCGCTTTGCGTGGTGAGATACCGCAAGTACACATTATACAGATTCCTTTAAATAAGTAATGCTCTTAAATTTAAGTTATGTTGGATGAACATGCTAACTTCCACTCGACCACTTCGGAATATTGTAATTTAATAAATCAACGGACGAAATGCGATTATGTGCCGAAATGTTAAGGTTAAATATTCGCTGTAACTCTTTAAACTGTTTATTTATTATATGTAAATGAAGAGAATAGAGTTGTAAAAGTGACGTTTATATATCCAGGACCCATATTTAGTCGCTTATATAAAATTTTAAATGAAGTTACCAGCATCAATTCCATTTTGTTCTTAGCGCTTTCATTTCAATGCGACGTTTCCTTCTACTTTTGCACTAAAACGAAAATCTTGTATCCGATAATTACAGACAATTTTGGGCTTATTCAGCAAACATTGGGCAATGCGCCGTCACTGTCAAAGTACTTCAAAATAAACATTCCATCCGCGACACGGTCATTCGGAAACATGGAAAAATTTCAATTTGTTAAGAACACTTTTAATTTCAAACACAGAGATAGAAACACATTTCCAAAAGTACTTTTGTAATTATAATGTCACATAATTAAATATTACTGATGAGATTTAATGAGCGAGTAATTATATAGCGGACAATCTTTCGTACTCGCACAATAATAAGCTTTGCAAATTAACGTCCGTCTACATTTTTATAGTTTCGAAAATAGTCTCGATCGGGTCCCCGCTTATAACTTTATTAATTAAAATTATCTAAAGCGAAAAAATCTCATTAAATATTGCTTTTATCGGCAAAAAATAGAGTCGAACGAGGTCTTTACCCGAAAAACTTCGATCGAAATTGATCTGTTTAGAAAGCAAACGTTTCTAAAGGTGGATGTGTGTCGGCGAGTAATCACAATATTTCAGAAATGAGCGTCGTGTGTATTGCCTAGCACTTAATACCTTTAGTGCAGTCGATATTGAAAGGAATGATAAAGAAAGACGATGGATCAACCTAGAAAGTATTTATAGTTACGGCATCCAAACGGAGTTATTTCGTGGACATTTATATATTGCCTCTCTTCCGACAGTTCTCGTATCATCGAACCGAGTGATGGATGTATGTGCAGTCTCGGAACTAATACAGCTGCATCGAGAGCCAGTCGAATTTCACCCAGCAAAGTAGATAGAAACCTCCAGAAAATATTTCGCTTTCAAATTCAATTATAAACCTTGATATAATTATATAGAAGCCTTATATAAACGACGAATAGCTTCTGCTTTTGATTTTAAGAAAAGCTACAACGTTTTACTACCGATCCTTGAACAAATAAAATGCATTTGTCATTTGGGCACGTGTTATCTCGTTTTCTAAGGTACCATCATCATCATTTTTATGCTGTTTATTTCACTATAAATCTATTTTGTAGAAAGTTTATAATACGACTTTTATGTTGTCTTATCTGGCATGGTTGCAGTAAAGATGGCAATAAAAATCCTATGTAAAATAGTAAAACTTACGTGGATTTACTACGACGGTGTCTCCCCGTAAGTGGATAATAAATATCAAAAAAGTTCCTGCAAATCTTTACTGTTGTATCGAATTCGATTTTTCGCTTATATCATATTTTAATTTTATTTTAAATAGCGGCACGACCATGTGAGGTTTTTTTATGCTTTTAAAGTAATTCGCAAACTGCGCCAATAAGTAGAACTACCGAAAAATAGAATTTAGAAAAACGATAGTGACGTTTATGTTGGAATAACTTACCTTCGTCGTCGTCCACCTCGTCGTCGCAGTTGGCTTCTTGAGGCACATTGCACTCTCTCCCTCCCCATCCTTCAGCGCAGTGACACGTCCAGGTATCGCCTTCTCTGATGCAATGGCCATGACTATTGCAGCCCTTAGGACATCCATCTGTAAAATATAAACGCTTTCATCACGAAGAAATTTCTGATTTCCCGACTTAGAGACGTTATTGTCCGTGATTTTTCGCGTTCAATCCATGTAAGAAAAGAAGATATAGAGATTGATGCGCTTGCCAAATCGATTAGAGATGGAATAAAAATTTATATTCATCGACATGGAGAGAATGGTAATAAATGCCGAATCAATAGTTAATATTTAGATGGTATCTACAATGGGTATTTTTAATGCTGTTGAACAACAAAAGAGAAAAGAGATATGTGTGTGGGTTTTAGAGATTTATTTGTTAGCAGACTAGTCTATTGTGTTGTTTAATTTGTCGCTGCAGTAGCAGAGGCAAAGTTCCCAGGCGACGATAGCAAGTTAAGTGACGGATAGAAAGTCGATAGGGAGGACAGTGAACTCTGAACGACAATAGACGATGCTTACAGTTTTCCTACTTGCTGTTAAATGTATTTAATCCAAAACTTAAGTTTACCTGAACGTTAAAATTATTCTTGCGTTTGTGAGGATTACTCTTCTCAGTTTGGGGAATTGTTTAAGATGAGTTGTCTTGATAATCCAATTGAGCCATTGTTTATTCTCCTTGCGTTCGATTCACATATTTTGTTACAGTTTTGAACTTTGCATTAGCTTAATCAAAATTTATTATCTTTAGTTTATCGTATTATTTAATAAAGCTATAATCCTCATAAATTGTTTAACACATTTGCACGTATCTGTTTAGTGCAGCTGACAGTTTTAACTTAAAAATTCTTTGGGTCGATACTTCTCCTCCTAAACCTTCAGTAACTTTCATATATTAACGTATTACTTAATGTTTTATTTCTAAATTTTCTGAAATTTAAAAATAAATGTTTTTCGTAAAATGGATTTAATTCATTCATTTTTTATTACTTAAAGATTTTATTTCTTTAGCTATAAACAATTAAAAAATCCAAAAGTAACAAAAAAAAAAACAAAGTCTATCATTAAAAAATATATATTTTTTATTTAAAAAATAANTCGTCGTAAAGTGCTTTATTGCTAGCGTGCGAGGCAGTAACTCAGCACCACAGACAAGTTGGACTGATGCGTGGTTAGCAATAATATTGCCTGGGAGAGTAGAACTTCTTCGTGTCTTCTCGAACGTCTGCGGTGGAAGCCTTTCTGCTTATTACCCATTCGCTCTTGTGAAAAAGATCTCGTCCTTTTATATTACAGGCCATAGCCCAACCACATTCAATCTACACAAACTTATAGAAATAAAACATTTAATTTAAAACAATGGATTTTACGGCAAGAAAAGCTGTTGACCTATTTCCTTTTCTTTTCAAATTTTTTACATTGACTTTGTTGTAATCATTTCAGATGCAAAAGGTTTCCACTAAAAGATTTCCAGTGTATTGTAGCACGGAAACAAATAAATAAAACTACACAGTTCCATTGAAACGTCTACAAAAATATATAAAATAAAAGAAAATTGTTATGCTTCGTGATATGGAAGATAATATATAAATAAAGAATATTGAAAGGCTTCTTCTGCTTTTTTTTATATTATATGGGCCTAAAAATATTTTGAATAATAACAATAATGTTGAATCTAGATGCACATATCCACAGAAATACATATATTTATATAATACATTAAAAATAGGAAAGTAGAAAATATAAAATAATAAATGCTTAATGATGATAAATTTTTTTAAATATACAGGTTAATAAATAATAATTACTGTCGTGTTACCTCGCATGTCAAGCATTTATTTTAAAGAAAATATTCTACTTCATTAATATTATAGTCGAAAATTATTATTAACATTAATATTATAAGAAAAATGAGTATGTATTAATTTAATCATTATAATTTTGACCACCGAAAATTTCACAAAATAATATATAATTTATATATAACAGTAGAACTTATTGTGTAATATTTCATAACTAAGGTAAAAACAACTTTATAGAACACATAACCATTTATTTCTACTATAATTCGGAAAAAAAGCAGTACAAATACTTACCCTCTTCGCAGTGCAATCCTCTGTAACCAGAATTACATTGGCAAGTACCATCCACACATCTTCCCTGACCGTTACAATCAGCAATTTCGCACTCATCAGCCTGGACACTACATTCTGCACCTTTCCAACCGGGTTCACATCTACATCTACCATGAACATACCTACCGTGACCACTACATAAAACCGGACAAACACCTAAAATAAACGATACAAATGGGTTCAATATTTACATTTGTTTAAAAAAGATAAATTTCAAAGGATGAACAATTTTTCATCTAGACAAATGAGTAATGGAACATTTAGAAGATTGGAATCGATTACGGTTTACAACAAATATATATTATATATACATTTATATATATATATATATATAAATGTAATGAAGTTAATATGGAATCAATAAATGACCTAATTTATTATAATAATTTCCATTACTCTTATTAACAAACGTAGTCACTCGAGTCTAATGACAATTTCCGATATGCGACTGATTTGAAGTTCCCTCGAGATAGCGCAACTCCCATATTCTCGATGGTTTATTTACTAGATGTCTAAACTATCTGATTGAAGCTGAAATAGCAATTAAAGCAGAATGCCTTCACCTAAACTGGTATCACTCCCATGGAAGCAGTTACCACTAATTACTCTGACGGTTTGTACTGCCTTTGAACCCGAATGGCCTACATAAAATTAGTGTAGATAAAAGGATAGTTTGTTTTACTAGAGAATTTAACACCGACGAAAAATCAATTGTTAAGAGTTGCCAACATATTTTGGATATTTTTACACGAATACTGATGCTGATTCCGTGTCTGCACCAGCTTCTTATTGGCTATAGCTATCAAATAATGTTTATTCACACCTCTATCCTTTGATCACATCTGCTTTGCACACGACTCTAGTGTTTAGAATGAGTCAACAAACATTGATGGGATAGTCTCAGATAGTCTTTACAGCATCAAGACAAACTCGGATAAATGAGATTCTCGTTTACAGAAACACTATTCAATCGAAAATCTCGATTTCGACTGTCGTTTCACTAAACATCGACTCATTGCACAGACATTACTCATTGAGATATAAATATATTAAAGAATTAACCAGGAATCTGCTTCATTTTTTATATTAAAAATTCCAGAGAAAATTAGATTTATTAAAGGATCACTCTTTGAACTCTTCGGCCACAACATATTAAATTATATATAATTACGGACAATTATTTAATTTATATACAATTATAATAAACTACATGCGAAATTATTACAAGTGTTTTTGATAAATTATATATTTTTAAATCGTGAGTTATATTTCGTACAATGTTATCACGTATTTTTCTTTCGATAATTCCTGGAAAATAAAATTGATACTCTAACAATAAATCATCCTTACAGGATTAGATAACAAGTGATGGGTCACAGAAATATGAGGAATGTACAATAAATTATATATATTTATGGTTTCTTAATTCAAATTAAAGAAAATATCTTTCTTTCATTTATTTCCTTTTTAAATAAATGAATTTCGGTAAACGGTTTTTTGCCTCCCGGTCTCAGTTTGTCATCTTTAAATTCAATACTTTTATAAACTATTTAAGTCTTTTTTTTTTCATTGTTCTCGAGTGGGTTGAAAGTATTTTTTCTCTTTAAATCTACAGACATGTAGACAGTAAAAATCAAATTGGAAATGTCATTTCACATAATACTGAAATGGCAAATTTAAAAACACTCGTTTTTCGAAGGGTTAGATTGATTTCGCAGAGAAACTGATCGAAATTTCCATCGTAATTTCCCGTTTAAATAACTTAAATTGGTAACGATCGTTGAATATTTTAATTATAATTAAATAGTATAAGTGAAAAAAATTATAAATTAGTCGTTTAAATTTTTATAATTTATAATTTTTTTCATGCTGTTTAAATTAGAAACGTAATGATAATGAAATATTTTAAAATTATAATTACGAAATGATTAATGATAAGTTTGTGATAGTAAACTAAATATAATTTAATAGGCTTTAAATATAATCGAGTTTTAAAAACTTGTAAATAGCTTAAAATATCCTGTAAATTTCATATTTCTTACAAAAATTTTTCTATATGTAATGTTTTTTAAAATAAATTTTACTTTAGTTAAATTAATAATGAAAAGAAAAATTCGTAAAACGAAGAAAATAAATGATTTCTCTTTATTTCAATCTCGAAGGACCAATTAATTATTGTTTGTCGTTTCATTTGTAAAATTCAAATTATATAATTCTTTGTTTGAATGAATAATTATTATTTAGCTTTTTAAAAAACTATAGACATAAGTATACCTGCTTTTTTATTTTTTATTTTAAAGAAACTACAATTTATGAATTTTTTTAGAAATTTTAGGAGAAGTTTCAAGAAAGAAATTATCTGTTATGACTTTTCCTCATTTCCTCCAAAAAATATGTAAATTTTACATATAAAAAGGAAAAAACCGACACGCAGCATTAAAATTAATGATAATATTTTTCAATTATAAAACTGAGGTGTCACATAAAAAATATTAAGGAAAAAATCAGAACTTTTATATAAATTTATTATCGAATTTATCAAAATTATCACTTTCCAAATTTAGCTAAAATATTAATAATATATATTACATCATTTCGATTTTTATAACCTACTTTCTATAGGACTAATTTTCTAAACTATAGATTACGACTCCTTATTATTGTATTAATAATTTAACATACTTTATGCATATTTTTATCAATTGTAATCTCTACTGAGATTTCAAAAGGTTGCTTGAGTGTGAAATTTTCGAATTTATTTCCTGTAAAATCTTTCCTGTATCGTTATTTAAGATATTATCCACAAGAAGATTATGTTAATAATGAAATTTTAAACGAGATAAAATATCTCCACTTTTATTTAGAGTAATTCTATATTACACAAAATTAATCATACATTCGAATACTTTAACTATTTAGAGTATAACGTAGCCATTTGCTATTTAGAATGGGTTAATCGACTTTTAGATAGCTTAAGCTAAAGTTTCTAGCGACTGATTCTCAGATGAGCTCGTTCATCAAATGCGATGAAAGATGACTATTTCAAAACTGAACATATGCAACATTTCACATGAATTCAAATTAATTTAACAGTTTCTAAGTCACTGTAAAATGATGATATATCTCCATCCTTTTAATTTTCATACTAATAATTTGCTTTAAAATCGTTTTTCTTCCTCTTTTCTCTACTGGATTTTTAAAACTTTATCGTTAACATTCATTAATTTGCATTATAATAATGACTATTATTAATGCTCATCTTTAATGTATAGATTCTTCTCATAAACATTAATAAAGGAATAATATAATTAGGAATAAAGGTATATTCGTAATTATATTATAGATACTATTAATGCGTTATGCTTGACAGATAATCATACGGGGACCTTCATAAACCATTTATTTATGGTGCATTCGAGCATATTCGTGTATATTTTAGATGTTTGATGAAGCGAGCACTTATCGAAGTAATGTTATTCATTTCACACTCGATGATTATAAATATATAACTTCATTTTCTGCAATTTCCGTTCAAACAAAACTTTTAAACAGGTTTGAAAATTTTATAACATCGCTATTATCGTCTTTTGGGATGGGAACAAATGTTATTAACGGGAATAAATTTCTTTTAAAATTATTATAAATAACTTTGTTTTAATTATAAAATTGTTAGGTAAAATTAAATTTTAAATGAAACTTGGAGTAATTAATTTTTTAAGTTTAGTTACGAAGCGAATATTGCGTGGCTACTTGATTAAGTTGGATGAATTGCACACGAATGAAATGAGATGTTACAAATACTTACTGTCTGCACAATCGGGACCAATGTAGCCTGGGAAACAATGACATTTTCCTAGGTGACAGTTACCGTGTTCATGACAATCATTGGGACACGTCGTTGGAATGTCACCTGCAAATCGAAAACAATAAAAACAATCTCGGATGAGATGTCTTATTATGTATTTACATATTATTATTATTATTAAAAGTGCATCGCTCGTAAAATTACAATTTTCGAAAGTACGTTATCAAGCCGCTGGAAACTGGAGTAATGAAGTTATGATTCGTTTCACATGAAAACATACCAATTTAAGTAGATTCGCATTTATGGTATTTCTAGATTGTAAAGAGAGTTTATTAGACGAATAATAGCCAAGTTTATTGCATTTATTTCATTTTTTCTTGCAGTTTTGCCGTAACGTTCGACCAAAGGATTTCGCTTTTATAGTTTAGATTAACTAACCATTTTTATCTTTTTAAGATTATGGATCCGAGCAAGGTTTATAGCTATATTTCTTTGTATAAAACTTATAAAAGTTCTCAGCTATTTTTTACATTAAAGTTTTAATATTTTTCAAAATAAATTTCGATTTAAAATAAATTTAAATGGCTGTTTAAGGTTTATTTAAACTTTTTGAGATTAAACTCGGACAAAATGTGGTTAGTTATTATAAAAAGCCAGAAGTAAATATAACTCATTTCGAGAAATAAATTTGTTTTGGAGTTAAAAATAAAAATTTATTTTTTAAAGTTACAACTAATTTAAATTCAGCAGATCGATATCACGTAACATCTAAAAGTATTATTTTAGTTACACAATAAGAGCTAGAGTAACAGTAAATTTTCTTATCGTGTTTAAATTTAGTAGAGATAGGAGCATTTCTCCTTCATTTATTTAAGACAATTGATACCCTCATGCTGTCCGAGATACCACATTTCTTGCTTAATTGAAAACTAACCAATTATCTCCAAAAGTTATTTTCTTCAACAAAAACATTAAAGAACACAAGTCAAACCAATAATCATTAATTAGTCTAAGATAACAATAAAAGAATTGATCGAAAAATATATATAAAATTCTTTTTGATATTTTTATCGATTTACTTGGCATTTTTCATTGAGATAGCGACTTTAATAAGTAGGAGACAAATGGATTGGTCTACTTATTAAAGAAGAGAGTTTAGTAAATTACAGTTAAGATGAAAAAAAACATTAATTTTCTCTTCTGGCGATTAATTAAAAATATTAACGAAGGAGGAAAAAAATAAAAAGTATAATCGTTTCTTCACACCAACTTTATTATGTTTGGAAACTTCTTTACTAACAAGAGAATAAAAAAGTTATATTTTTCTCGAGAGGTTTAACTCTAGATTACTTGTACTGATTATTAATTAATATGTTAGACTGCTGATAATTAATTTACACAATTTCTATGCCTTCATAATTAACCAGCCATAAAAGTAATTTGTTCTTTTATCTCCGTGATTGTTTTGACTTGTATTTATCTTGCTATGCTAAGAACATGTTGAATTAGTTCAGTAAATTGTCTCTTCCCGAAATAATTTATTCATTTGCCACTAAGTTTTCGAATGAGACTCTTAAGAGATTAAGTCTCCTATGATTCCCTATTGTTTATTTATTAATGCAATTAACGCCATATTCAAAGCTCGATTCGCCGTGTTTTTTTCATTAATCAAGGTTATTTTAAATTGCTAATTATAATTATTTTGAGAAATAAATTGAATAAAATCCTTTTAATTAAAATTGAAATTTTAATTCTATCAGCTAAATAGAAAATACTTACGAGCAGCTGTTGGGTGAAAATTTACAATAACGGCTTTACTATCGTCATTTATAATGGATATGTACCAAGTACCGGGGTCCAGATGATGTAAAAATTTAACTTCATCGTGTTGCTGAAAGGTTAATCAATTTTGTAAGTTCTTTTTTACTTTCTCTAATCAAAATTCTACAGAAAAATAATTTTCTTATCAAATTCTATTCTTAAACTCTAAAAAAGTATAATAAATGAATAGTTAAAATCCTAATTTACAATTCAAAATTCATTTACAGTATATAAAGGCTTATAAATATTAATTACATCATTTCGATTTTTATAACCTACTTTCTATAGGACTAATTTTCTAAACTATAGATTACGACTCCTTATTATTGTATTAATAATTTAACATACTTTATGCATATTTTTATCAATTGTAATCTCTACTGAGATTTCAAAAGGTTGCTTGAGTGTGAAATTTTCGAATTTATTTCCTGTAAAATCTTTCCTGTATCGTTATTTAAGATATTATCCACAAGAAGATTATGTTAATAATGAAATTTTAAACGAGATAAAATATCTCCACTTTTATTTAGAGTAATTCTATATTACACAAAATTAATCATACATTCGAATACTTTAACTATTTAGAGTATAACGTAGCCATTTGCTATTTAGAATGGGTTAATCGACTTTTAGATAGCTTAAGCTAAAGTTTCTAGCGACTGATTCTCAGATGAGCTCGTTCATCAAATGCGATGAAAGATGACTATTTCAAAACTGAACATATGCAACATTTCACATGAATTCAAATTAATTTAACAGTTTCTAAGTCACTGTAAAATGATGATATATCTCCATCCTTTTAATTTTCATACTAATAATTTGCTTTAAAATCGTTTTTCTTCCTCTTTTCTCTACTGGATTTTTAAAACTTTATCGTTAACATTCATTAATTTGCATTATAATAATGACTATTATTAATGCTCATCTTTAATGTATAGATTCTTCTCATAAACATTAATAAAGGAATAATATAATTAGGAATAAAGGTATATTCGTAATTATATTATAGATACTATTAATGCGTTATGCTTGACAGATAATCATACGGGGACCTTCATAAACCATTTATTTATGGTGCATTCGAGCATATTCGTGTATATTTTAGATGTTTGATGAAGCGAGCACTTATCGAAGTAATGTTATTCATTTCACACTCGATGATTATAAATATATAACTTCATTTTCTGCAATTTCCGTTCAAACAAAACTTTTAAACAGGTTTGAAAATTTTATAACATCGCTATTATCGTCTTTTGGGATGGGAACAAATGTTATTAACGGGAATAAATTTCTTTTAAAATTATTATAAATAACTTTGTTTTAATTATAAAATTGTTAGGTAAAATTAAATTTTAAATGAAACTTGGAGTAATTAATTTTTTAAGTTTAGTTACGAAGCGAATATTGCGTGGCTACTTGATTAAGTTGGATGAATTGCACACGAATGAAATGAGATGTTACAAATACTTACTGTCTGCACAATCGGGACCAATGTAGCCTGGGAAACAATGACATTTTCCTAGGTGACAGTTACCGTGTTCATGACAATCATTGGGACACGTCGTTGGAATGTCACCTGCAAATCGAAAACAATAAAAACAATCTCGGATGAGATGTCTTATTATGTATTTACATATTATTATTATTATTAAAAGTGCATCGCTCGTAAAATTACAATTTTCGAAAGTACGTTATCAAGCCGCTGGAAACTGGAGTAATGAAGTTATGATTCGTTTCACATGAAAACATACCAATTTAAGTAGATTCGCATTTATGGTATTTCTAGATTGTAAAGAGAGTTTATTAGACGAATAATAGCCAAGTTTATTGCATTTATTTCATTTTTTCTTGCAGTTTTGCCGTAACGTTCGACCAAAGGATTTCGCTTTTATAGTTTAGATTAACTAACCATTTTTATCTTTTTAAGATTATGGATCCGAGCAAGGTTTATAGCTATATTTCTTTGTATAAAACTTATAAAAGTTCTCAGCTATTTTTTACATTAAAGTTTTAATATTTTTCAAAATAAATTTCGATTTAAAATAAATTTAAATGGCTGTTTAAGGTTTATTTAAACTTTTTGAGATTAAACTCGGACAAAATGTGGTTAGTTATTATAAAAAGCCAGAAGTAAATATAACTCATTTCGAGAAATAAATTTGTTTTGGAGTTAAAAATAAAAATTTATTTTTTAAAGTTACAACTAATTTAAATTCAGCAGATCGATATCACGTAACATCTAAAAGTATTATTTTAGTTACACAATAAGAGCTAGAGTAACAGTAAATTTTCTTATCGTGTTTAAATTTAGTAGAGATAGGAGCATTTCTCCTTCATTTATTTAAGACAATTGATACCCTCATGCTGTCCGAGATACCACATTTCTTGCTTAATTGAAAACTAACCAATTATCTCCAAAAGTTATTTTCTTCAACAAAAACATTAAAGAACACAAGTCAAACCAATAATCATTAATTAGTCTAAGATAACAATAAAAGAATTGATCGAAAAATATATATAAAATTCTTTTTGATATTTTTATCGATTTACTTGGCATTTTTCATTGAGATAGCGACTTTAATAAGTAGGAGACAAATGGATTGGTCTACTTATTAAAGAAGAGAGTTTAGTAAATTACAGTTAAGATGAAAAAAAACATTAATTTTCTCTTCTGGCGATTAATTAAAAATATTAACGAAGGAGGAAAAAAATAAAAAGTATAATCGTTTCTTCACACCAACTTTATTATGTTTGGAAACTTCTTTACTAACAAGAGAATAAAAAAGTTATATTTTTCTCGAGAGGTTTAACTCTAGATTACTTGTACTGATTATTAATTAATATGTTAGACTGCTGATAATTAATTTACACAATTTCTATGCCTTCATAATTAACCAGCCATAAAAGTAATTTGTTCTTTTATCTCCGTGATTGTTTTGACTTGTATTTATCTTGCTATGCTAAGAACATGTTGAATTAGTTCAGTAAATTGTCTCTTCCCGAAATAATTTATTCATTTGCCACTAAGTTTTCGAATGAGACTCTTAAGAGATTAAGTCTCCTATGATTCCCTATTGTTTATTTATTAATGCAATTAACGCCATATTCAAAGCTCGATTCGCCGTGTTTTTTTCATTAATCAAGGTTATTTTAAATTGCTAATTATAATTATTTTGAGAAATAAATTGAATAAAATCCTTTTAATTAAAATTGAAATTTTAATTCTATCAGCTAAATAGAAAATACTTACGAGCAGCTGTTGGGTGAAAATTTACAATAACGGCTTTACTATCGTCATTTATAATGGATATGTACCAAGTACCGGGGTCCAGATGATGTAAAAATTTAACTTCATCGTGTTGCTGAAAGGTTAATCAATTTTGTAAGTTCTTTTTTACTTTCTCTAATCAAAATTCTACAGAAAAATAATTTTCTTATCAAATTCTATTCTTAAACTCTAAAAAAGTATAATAAATGAATAGTTAAAATCCTAATTTACAATTCAAAATTCATTTACAGTATATAAAGGCTTATAAATATTAATTTCTAATATGATATTTATACTTGTAAAAATAATCAAAATGAACGGAAAATTAAAACAGAGATAATTTTATTTAATTGGAGTTAATTGTGATATCAATGGGTAAATTGAATAATGCATATGATGCAACTATCGTATAATTTAATTATGCTTATGATACGTTAAATAAAAGGCAAATTAAATTTTCATATGTTGACCTATTTTATTAGTTTTCTGCAAATTGGATATGACTGAAGTCAGCATAACAAATACATTAGCTGTGAATTTAAAAGGATCATAATTCTTGATTATAGCAACAAAGTCCGCTTTACTTGTTCAATATATTTGCTACTATACGTCAGAAATGAGCGAAATTTTCAAAGATTCTGTCCATTGACTTTAATTCCTACACCTATCAGACTTCAACAGTTATATTTTCTAACAAATAGCTCTATCTATCAGGATGAAGTAGGAAATTTACTATTGCACTTATAGTTTAAATCAAAAACTGCAGCAACGTATCCGACGTCCGAAACACTTACACACTTTGTAATTGCCTCGATTTTCTTGGATTAACTTATTGATTTTATATTTTTAACTACCATATTCAGAGATCGGCAATTTATCATGCTTTTTTCTCAGTTAAACTGTGTTATTAGAGAATCCTTTTGCAGAAATTATTAAATTAATTCTTTCGATTCATACTCAATCTCAGCTGTCATGCGATATTAAAAATTACTGTTATAAAAGTGAAAGAGAAGTGTCAATGGAATCTCTCAACGAAAAAGAAGAAAAGAATTGCTAAAACCACAGATCTCCCGCCGAACTAATGTTACAACTTCAATTTCTGAAGAAAAAAAACTAACACATCTTTAAAAAAATCTCAAGTAGATATGAAAGAAGTTCAATAATAGATAATAAGTTGGACAAGGTAAAGATTTTTTAAGTTTTGGATGAGATAATTCTTTAGACCGACCGTCGTGGACCTATCAAGTAAGTCGAAATTAGATCAATAATTTAGAAAGAGTTTTGCCTGACTGCTTTTTATCACAACAATCAATACTGGAAGATTTTAACCAAGAATTCTTTGCCTGGCTTGTAGAATGAAGATCTTATGGAAGCTAGACACAAGAACAAGTTTTTTCTTCCATAACTTTTCTAACGACAAAGGAGCAAGATTATTTGATTCGACTTTTCCGATAGTGAAAAAAGAAGTCATAGAAAAGCACCTTTGTATTGACCCAATGGGTAATTTCACCAGATGTAAGGATGCCGAAGAAAATCTTGATTGTTCGTTTTCGCTCCTGTTAACTGTCCTAGCACACATTTATGGTTTCTGCAGGGAACATGTTTCTTAAATAAAAGTTAGCGGAAACAATTGAATTTAATGACTCAATCTTCTCTACTGAAATTAGACATTGCTTACTTTCTTTCGTCAATAGTTTGGTTGAAAAAAAAATCTAAAATGCCAAATAGCAATTTTAATTCGGATATTCGCTATATTAATTAAAACTAGTGATGAACAATTTCTTTTAAAAAGCTACTTCTTAAATTATTTATATAATTTTAATATTTCAAATTCAGTTGATCAAATCTTAAATTAATTTTAAGACGCATTTAATAAAAGTTCAATTTTCTTCTTATCTGAGTTAAATTTACTTATTAAAACTAAAATTTTTCTTATAAGTAATTAAACTCAAATGAAATATTTTGATGTAATTAATATTAGTTAAGTAATGTTTCTCCACATCTAAACATTTCAATATTTTTTAAAACATTTTTAAAACTCTCCCTTTTTTCTATTTTTCAAAATTTTTAATTAACGAAAAATTTGATAACGATTTAATTAATATTTCAATCGTAATTCATGTTTAAATGATGATAAATTGTTAATCATTTCAACGTCTGTGAAGGGATCATTTCTAATCATAAAATTATAACTAAAATATTTAGAAAATACTCACTATCGTGGCTCTTTTGTACAATCGGTGCTCATCGGCTATCACCTCCATAATATCATAAGCAGTAATTGAAGGTGGTTCGTTCTTCCTTGCTAAAAAAGCTAGTCGAGTACCGTGAGAAACCGAAAAGTTGAAACGAACAAAAGTAGATTCTAGTTGACTAAACCAAACATTCCACGATTCGTGTGCTGGCAGAGTTTTCGTTAGAACTGTGCCCAATATAATCTTTTTGTAAATAGCCGTGTCCGTTAACCCCACTAAACAAGCAGATTGGGCTGGAAGTCCTATTCCTGATTTTAAAATATATTTTATACATAAAGATATCCTTAAATAGTATAAAATAAATAAAATTTATAACCTTTAATGTTCGTTGGAAGCTCTGTAGGACCTGTAGTACTTCTAGTGTTTTCTCTATCTGAAACAACAATGCACGGTTTGTTGCTTTCTGGATAAACGCTAAGAGAACTCATAGCTGTAAGAGATAAGTGTACATTTTTATATTAATATAAAGTTATGAATTGCAGATTATGTAATTAATAAGAACTTAATTACAACCTGCAAAATAAGTCATTGTTGCCGTTAGAATGGTAGTTACAAATATAAGAACAATGGTAGACATCTTCCAAGAACATCTATGGCTACAAGACTTCTGGAAATGAAACCTCGATGAAGAGATGGCTGTAGATGAAAATGCCGAAGCTGGAGAGAAAGGTTGCCTGACTCTAGCAGGAGCCGTGGCTGGTTGGATAAGTTGAGGATTCACGCAGTTAGGAACAGGTACCATAGGGCCCGTTGTTGAACTAGGCGTGCTACAGAATACTGGTAAAGGATTGCTGTAAGTAGGCCCTCCCGTATTTGGACTACTTGTAGGAGGCGCACTAGGAGTGGCTGTGGTGGCTGTGCTGGTTGCCGAGGTCGCTCCCTCAGTTTTAGGAATTAAAACCTGTTGCGGTTGACTATATATCCTGCAAGAAAAGATATGGATGAAAATAACCTGCGAAGCTAATTTTGAAATTAAACATACTTTGGCAGAAAGGAATCAAGAATTCAAGTATAAATGACAATAATTCAAATGCAAAGATTAGCTAGCAACAATTAATAAATTGAAATAAAGGGTTTTGTAACTTTATGCAATAAGATTTTATATTAAGTCTTCATTCATATTATTTTGCTTAAAAATTTTTTCAAGAGTTTGCTTTCATAATATGAATATAGAACATGGTTGATTCCTGCCAATAAAATTATTTCTAGGAAATAAATTACAATGGACAAGAATTTAATTAAGAAAATAATAACGTAATTAAATAAAAACCAAAAATAATGTATTCTACATAAATGATAATTTGATTTTAATTTTACCGGTTTTGAAAATGCGACTTGTTATTATGATGAATTTGTAAAAATGTCAAATGGAGCGAGAATTCTGAATATGCAAATATGCCAAGAGGAATAAAGAAATAAAAGGAAACGGTCGAATACCAAATCAAGAGAGAACACGACCAATATATCCCGAACAACAGATTGACTTGGGACAACAAAACACAAAGCGCATTTTCGATGTCTGGTGTCATTCAACCCGCATGCCAATCTTTTATCCATTCTTTTTGTTCGCATCACTTCGTTCTCTAGCTCTTAATACCTTTCCGTCGTCCAAGACATAATTCCGAATTCGCCATCATCTCCTACCTTTCGTTATCCGTCTTATTTAATTTGTTGATATTCGTTCTTCCATCTTCACCGGTGCAAGATGGCGCCGTTGCATCAGGAACCGTCTGAGTTGGATTTAATGTGGAAATGTCTGCCAAAGAAATCCCAAAGTTAGGATTGAATCGATCGAGGCACAAATAATTTTTTCAAAGTGCATATATAATCCAATACGGAAAGTAATTTATTCAAAATGTCCTATGGGTGATCGATTCGATCGAGAATATAAGGTATTTAAAATTTATTCAAATCTCCCTAGAGATGAAGCACACTTGTGCATTCGATTATCCGCTTAAGCTCTTACCTTGTGATTCAAACGAAGATAATCCTCCTGACAGCATGTTAGGTAAATAAGGTGGTTCTGATTCGCATTCGCTTTCTAAATATCCCAATCTGGGCCTTCTTCCCAGTGCTTCGATATGGTAAACTGGAGGAGTGGTTCTAGAAGGGAGTGTACCGGGAGCGGGTTCGGGAGGACTATCACCAAACACTATAAATAAATATAATAAATGTTAAACTTCGACAAAAATAACCCAGAATCACTTTTATTCGACGCAGTTAAGTAATATACGAGTATATAATTTAATTTATTATTTCAGAAAAGGCCTACTCATTTTCAGAGAGATCTGAGAAATACCATATCCAATGACTACTGAGAGAGAATTTACTAATCGTGTTACACATTTATTTAAACAACTCAAATAACGAATAATTATTCCCCAAGGAAAAGAAAACACAACTCCATTTAGCAGCCATTTATCCTATTAAAACGAATGAAACAAAAATAAATTTCTAACTAATTATCATCGTACCATCACTTGGTGAAATGTTGATACTTTCCATTTTCTAAATCATGATATTTATTAAATTATCTTTCGTCTGGAAGAAAAATTTTCATTTCGAATTTTCATTGTCACAAAAAAACATAAAAATTAAATTCGAAAATTTAGTCAAGAAATAAAAAAATCTAAAATAATTTGCCTTAATTGATGCAATATTTTTATTAATATACGAACTTTTATTTCTTTTTTATTAATAAATTTCACTATTAAAAAATTGATATGAATTTTTTAAAGTTAAATAATTTATGTTTCCTTTGTGCTTATGTTCTTTTATTTAATATTCTACAAAACTTTCTCGAGCCAGAACTATTAGCAAAGCTTTCTACTCGGACGGAAGTTTAGCATTTCAGTTCATATTAAGTGAAACAACTTTTTTTTGTAGTCTTTTGGCCGGGACAATATCGACTATCGGTTACTTTTGTCAGATGGACATGACGGATTGCTCTCGAGTGGAAACGTCACTTTAATTGACACTAGAAGGCGTTGACTTTATCCTTGATTTTTTAAGAAAAATATATAACCGTTAATAGTTTATATATATATATATTTACAAACGCGCAGCTATTTAATCCACTAATTACTAAAAGTTAATGTCGAAAGCATTAACTTTTAGTGCTTAATATTCTCAAGAGAATATTTAAGATAAGTATTCAATATTTATCATCGAAATATTCTCTGTAATACTTTTTAAAAATCGAGTGTTATACTTTTGAGCCTGTTTACGTGTGTAGACTTCTGCTAATATCTAGATGAAAATGATAACAATAATTGTATTTCTTTATCTTGGTTTAATTTCCGAACATAAATCCAGCATCTTTTATCAGTTAATGTTCTCTACTTAACGCTTAAGTTACGTCAAATTTAATTTTGTTAAATAATAGTTTATCAAAAAAAGAAAAAAATCTTGTTTAAATGGTTATTTCGTTGCAATTTTTGATGCTATTTTAATTTATTCTTGTTTAGATTTAAATTCAATTTTAAAAGGTTAATGACATCTGTAAACGAAAGAAGAAAAAGAATTAAAAATGAATGATGTGGGATTTAGAACTGTAACAATTTAAAAATTTTAAATCTGCGATACGTTCACACATAAAAATATAGGAAGGGAATTAGTTGCACAAATTTCATCTTAACACCTGCCTAGCTTCTGACTGAGGAAAAATATATTATCTTTTATCTGCGAAAAGAGGAAAAAAAATCGGGTAGGGTTGAGATGGGAAGAGAAAGATGTAGCAGAATAGAGCATCTGAACATTCCCAGACCGTTAGTTTGGTTGCAGGTGCTTCTTCTCAGCCTACTTCGTCAGTTGTGTTTTTATTCTATTGATCCACCTAAGGGGATTCACAGTCTTTCTCCATAAGCATATATCTGACTATTGATCATAACATAATTATTCCACTCTCTTGGTCTCCTTGATCTGCGCTGCTTTCAATGACTATATTAAGATCTGTGTGAAATCTCTTACTAAAAATTTATTGATTCTACGCCTCATTCACCTACATCAATGATTAACATTACCATCTTTTTCGAGTTTAAAAATCTATAATTCAATATACATCATTAATTATTATTAACAGGGAAAGCAGTAAGTTAAGCAATTAATCCTCTTAATGTATTTAATTGTTATTAATTATTTTTATGATGCCAAACAAGGAAAGAAGACTCTAACATTACTTACGACAAGAAAATGACACAAACAAGAATTTTTTCCTTCTGTCTTTGAACATAAAAATATTTCCAGAAAAATGAATTTTTTTTACTTTTTTTCAATTTTATTTTAGAAAGCGTGTACACTTTATTACCAAAATTCTTTATCGCAATGTTCTATTAAGATAATTAAAATGTCACAAAAATGTTAACATCTAGAATTCTTTTTGTTTCAGCTAAAAAAATTTTATAATGTTGAATAAATATGAAAAATACGAATATAACTTTTAGAATTTTGCAGTCAAATTTACTAAATACATGCGATATATATACATATTTTTTTATTGTGTTAATATATGCATTTATATATATATATAAATGCATATATTAACATAATAAAAAATATTTAAATATCTAATTTGTTTTGCGTTATTATGAAGAGCCAAGAGAATTGGCACAAAACTTTAAGTTAGAAAATAAAATAAAACCAGACGAAATTTTTTATAATATTAAAATAAAAACAAAATTATAAAAAAAATTATTAAGAACAAACTACATAGAATACTTAAATTTTTAAAATAATTTATACGAAACATGCTTTGCATGAATATATGAATCTATAAAAATTTCATCACTGAAGGGAGAGAGAGATTCGCATAATCATAATCTTTAGTAAAAAAAAAAAAAAAAGAAGGTAGGAAGCAAAGTTGCTGCTTTCCACTGTAACTGATATTGCTATCCTTTGATATTTATAAAAATGCGAAAGGACTGTTAAAATTTGTGTAAAGATTGCAGAATAAGAAACGAATAAGATGAAATCAATTCATCAATGAAAGAACTTTTATGGAATTTTAAAATATTTCAGTAACTCCTGAACAAAATTTAATATATAATTTCAATTGAGAGGAAACCTTATTAGCGGTTATTCTTATCCAGATCAGGCATTTTATTCAGAAGAAATTTCATCCGTTTCCCGTCTTTTATGCGATTATATCACATATTTTATCATGTCTTATTCTTCCGAACGATATAATAATTGATAGCATTGAGATTAAAATTCGAGTAAAAACATTTCCGACATTATTTTTAAAACATAAAATAATGAAAATTTTATAAACTTTTACATTTAATACTAGGATATATTCAGATGAAGGTATCATTTTTCAGGAGAATGGAGTTTACAGTATTTGGAAATCAATCTTGTATAAGAAGTCTAGCAAAATGCCCAATCGATTTGGATAGCGATCCAACACCATCTACAGTAAAAGTAACAAGAAAATAAAATGAAATTCGAATTTTAACAGAGAATTAAGTATTTTTAATGGGAATTGATATAATACGGTTTGGTTGTTTCATTTATTTTAAATAAGTGCTATTGTAAATATTACAGGTGTAGATGCAAGAAGTCTGTATAATTTTCACACTTTTTAATGTTTAAAGTCTATATATANTAAAAGTTTAATTTTTTTTATAAAAGCACTCTCAGTTAAAAGAATGGATATTAATTTAATTGACAGTTAGATAATGAAATTGGATTGAGATTCAGGTTTAAGTAATTTTACTAATCAATTTTATGTATTATTTACAAATTTTCTGTAATAAAAAGTTTTGATTATTAAGATGATTATATGTAATTCATTTCTGTAGAGTTATAATTAACTGAATACTTTTTCTCATTGATTTTTTCACTAATCAAACATTTTAGTTGATTAAGAAACAATTTTATAAAAGGAAAAAAAATGTCACTTTATTTTGCCAGGCATTTAACAATCAACTAAAGACTTGCCATCGATTTCCTTCATAGAATGAAGCTGTAAAAGGGTTAATAATAATCTGTAATGTCTAAAGTGCATTTCTTTGAACGAAAGTGATTGCTAATTATAACAAAATCTGTATTTAAAAACGAGAAAAATCTTTTCGTTTAGACCCATATTTGAGAACTTACCCAAAGTGCAATGCCTTCCCATCCATCCTTGGATACAGATGCAAGTTCCGTTATTGCACTGGCCATGTTCCAAACATCTAGGATCACATATCCTTTGATCGCATCTCTCTCCCGTCCACCCGTCTTCGCAGTGGCAACGACCTTCCTCGCACTGTCCATATTGACCACAGTCTAGTGTACATTTGGCTAAAGAAGAAATTCCAACTGCTGTAACGACATTCGACTTATAACGTAAAGATCTATAATTTATTCTTATTATATTCCGACAAATAACCGGCTTATCTAATAATTTGAGTTTTAATCTCCAAAATTATAAAATATTTCGGGAGAGTTTTTAAAGAAAAGAATTACAAGATGCGAAATTAATACAAATAAAGTTTGTGAGAAACAATGTATCAAAGTGGAAGTACTGATTAATTTACCTGTGCGTAAACCGAACGAGATTGCATCGAAGGCTAAAATTTTCATTTCTCTTTCCTTAATGAAGTTTCATTAGTCATTTGAATGTCAGTGTTAGCTCACATATCATGCGTAGATAATGTCTTAATAAATTCACGTTGACGTAACGTAAACACAGACTAGGTAGGGACTTCAGTCAAATGCAAAAACCTGGACGTCAATGGTTATTATTCAGCATCCGTGAGTAATGCGTTTCACGGGTGACTGTGGCAAATTCTAATTAATGACGGACTAAGAATGAGTTAGTCTATCGAGTATCTTTTTGTTCCTTCTTTTATCTGACTATTCATCTAGTTAGAAAGGAAAAACTAAACAATTCTTATCTCCGCAAGTGGAGAGTGTAAAAATAATGTACTCGGCGAGATGCTATCTTCGACATATAGTTTGCTGTTTTCACAAACAAACAATACACTCGCTTATTTTCTTATCTTCCTTGCTTACCGATTTAATTTTAAAGTGGCTTTGTCCACACCAAAATAAATTTGCTGAGATATGCTCTCAAACGAAAACTTTAAGACTCGATTCTTTCGTAATCGTAAAATTTATGGCTTTGAGCAGATATTATAAAATAAGAAATTCATTTCGTTATCCGTTTTTCTTATCGATCTAAAAATGCTAGAGATGTTTACAGGAATTAAGTAATTTATAAAATATTAAATAACCAGTTGCGAGAATTAAAATTAAGTAGACTAAAAGATAAGCCCGAAAACAGTATAAATCTAATAAGCAAATTTATGCAGAAATTTCGATATAAATTGAATTATATTAGTGTTTGTTTATGATTAACTAATATGTTTTAGCACTTAAAGCAAATTAATACGGTTAAGTTATTGATAAATGCTTTTTTGATATAATTTATTTATCATTTTTGATAAATAAATTATATTAAAAAGTGTAATCAGAACTTTCGAGAAAATACAATAAAGTTCTGAGCTTTTAAGCTTTAAAAATAGCTTTATTAAATTCTCTGTTCTTAGTATAGAAATTTTATTCTGTAATTTAGTGTTACCAACTCGAATATTTTTCTTTGAAGTTAAGAAAAATGTTTTATTATTATTTTTTTCATTTTCCAGAGAAAAACTAACAGCCTAGAAGTGCTCCGAGTAATATTTTCCATATTCTACAATTCATACGGTCGAGCAGGTACGAAAGAATTTTAGATTTGATTAATTAACTTTGTTGAAGGAAGATTAATCATCCAACTTCGCTCCGGATTAGATGCATAAAAAACTGTGAAGCAACTGTTAAGTACTGGATGCAAAACATTTAGTAGTTAGATTCGAAAAATGAAAATATAAATTCCAAAGGAAAGTATTTTAAAATTTTTCGAAGCGAATTTACATGTAAATTATTTATTAACTTATTCATTTTTTGCCAGATTTTTCAGACATTGTTTCTTAGTAGAAAATAATAAAATTAGATAAGCTTTCGATGGTGTATAAAGAGAGTATAATGAACTAACCTTTAGAACAGTCTTCGCCCGTCCAATGTTCGAAACAAACACATCTTTCTGTTTCTAGATCATATACACCATGCGAGGAACAATCAGGGAAGCACCTGCTCAGGCGACCATCCGCTTCGCTACAGTTGGCTCCTTTCCAACCAATTTTACACCAACATTGACCAACGATACAGGCACCGTGCCCGGAACATACGGGATCCAAACAATCCACTAAAGAAATATAATAAGAATCTTTACAACTCCGAAAAATTATCAATTTATAAAAAACTGAACTGCTCCAAAGCGAGGGTTCATTTTGAAATAGCTTTTACATTGGAAGTATAAGAGCAATTTTAGTAAACGACGTAAAAACTAGTAAATTGGATTAATTTTGTTTTCTTTTTTTGGTAGTAATTGGAAGTCACACTGATCCGCGGCTTACGACAAACTAATCAAAGCAGCGGAGAATTTATCTCCGAGACCATAAAGTACAGGGCAAATTTTCTAAAGATTCCTTTCTGCTCGGTCCATGTTTAAAGTATTCCTGGAAGTTCTATAAGAATGGCCGAAAGTTGTTTTTATAGGACATTGATTCACGCGCATGGAATGGCTTCCACTTTTCGTCGTAAAGTGCTTTATTGCTAGCGTGCGAGGCAGTAACTCAGCACCACAGACAAGTTGGACTGATGCGTGGTTAGCAATAATATTGCCTGGGAGAGTAGAACTTCTTCGTGTCTTCTCGAACGTCTGCGGTGGAAGCCTTTCTGCTTATTACCCATTCGCTCTTGTGAAAAAGATCTCGTCCTTTTATATTACAGGCCATAGCCCAACCACATTCAATCTACACAAACTTATAGAAATAAAACATTTAATTTAAAACAATGGATTTTACGGCAAGAAAAGCTGTTGACCTATTTCCTTTTCTTTTCAAATTTTTTACATTGACTTTGTTGTAATCATTTCAGATGCAAAAGGTTTCCACTAAAAGATTTCCAGTGTATTGTAGCACGGAAACAAATAAATAAAACTACACAGTTCCATTGAAACGTCTACAAAAATATATAAAATAAAAGAAAATTGTTATGCTTCGTGATATGGAAGATAATATATAAATAAAGAATATTGAAAGGCTTCTTCTGCTTTTTTTTATATTATATGGGCCTAAAAATATTTTGAATAATAACAATAATGTTGAATCTAGATGCACATATCCACAGAAATACATATATTTATATAATACATTAAAAATAGGAAAGTAGAAAATATAAAATAATAAATGCTTAATGATGATAAATTTTTTTAAATATACAGGTTAATAAATAATAATTACTGTCGTGTTACCTCGCATGTCAAGCATTTATTTTAAAGAAAATATTCTACTTCATTAATATTATAGTCGAAAATTATTATTAACATTAATATTATAAGAAAAATGAGTATGTATTAATTTAATCATTATAATTTTGACCACCGAAAATTTCACAAAATAATATATAATTTATATATAACAGTAGAACTTATTGTGTAATATTTCATAACTAAGGTAAAAACAACTTTATAGAACACATAACCATTTATTTCTACTATAATTCGGAAAAAAAGCAGTACAAATACTTACCCTCTTCGCAGTGCAATCCTCTGTAACCAGAATTACATTGGCAAGTACCATCCACACATCTTCCCTGACCGTTACAATCAGCAATTTCGCACTCATCAGCCTGGACACTACATTCTGCACCTTTCCAACCGGGTTCACATCTACATCTACCATGAACATACCTACCGTGACCACTACATAAAACCGGACAAACACCTAAAATAAACGATACAAATGGGTTCAATATTTACATTTGTTTAAAAAAGATAAATTTCAAAGGATGAACAATTTTTCATCTAGACAAATGAGTAATGGAACATTTAGAAGATTGGAATCGATTACGGTTTACAACAAATATATATTATATATACATTTATATATATATATATATATATATAAATGTAATGAAGTTAATATGGAATCAATAAATGACCTAATTTATTATAATAATTTCCATTACTCTTATTAACAAACGTAGTCACTCGAGTCTAATGACAATTTCCGATATGCGACTGATTTGAAGTTCCCTCGAGATAGCGCAACTCCCATATTCTCGATGGTTTATTTACTAGATGTCTAAACTATCTGATTGAAGCTGAAATAGCAATTAAAGCAGAATGCCTTCACCTAAACTGGTATCACTCCCATGGAAGCAGTTACCACTAATTACTCTGACGGTTTGTACTGCCTTTGAACCCGAATGGCCTACATAAAATTAGTGTAGATAAAAGGATAGTTTGTTTTACTAGAGAATTTAACACCGACGAAAAATCAATTGTTAAGAGTTGCCAACATATTTTGGATATTTTTACACGAATACTGATGCTGATTCCGTGTCTGCACCAGCTTCTTATTGGCTATAGCTATCAAATAATGTTTATTCACACCTCTATCCTTTGATCACATCTGCTTTGCACACGACTCTAGTGTTTAGAATGAGTCAACAAACATTGATGGGATAGTCTCAGATAGTCTTTACAGCATCAAGACAAACTCGGATAAATGAGATTCTCGTTTACAGAAACACTATTCAATCGAAAATCTCGATTTCGACTGTCGTTTCACTAAACATCGACTCATTGCACAGACATTACTCATTGAGATATAAATATATTAAAGAATTAACCAGGAATCTGCTTCATTTTTTATATTAAAAATTCCAGAGAAAATTAGATTTATTAAAGGATCACTCTTTGAACTCTTCGGCCACAACATATTAAATTATATATAATTACGGACAATTATTTAATTTATATACAATTATAATAAACTACATGCGAAATTATTACAAGTGTTTTTGATAAATTATATATTTTTAAATCGTGAGTTATATTTCGTACAATGTTATCACGTATTTTTCTTTCGATAATTCCTGGAAAATAAAATTGATACTCTAACAATAAATCATCCTTACAGGATTAGATAACAAGTGATGGGTCACAGAAATATGAGGAATGTACAATAAATTATATATATTTATGGTTTCTTAATTCAAATTAAAGAAAATATCTTTCTTTCATTTATTTCCTTTTTAAATAAATGAATTTCGGTAAACGGTTTTTTGCCTCCCGGTCTCAGTTTGTCATCTTTAAATTCAATACTTTTATAAACTATTTAAGTCTTTTTTTTTTCATTGTTCTCGAGTGGGTTGAAAGTATTTTTTCTCTTTAAATCTACAGACATGTAGACAGTAAAAATCAAATTGGAAATGTCATTTCACATAATACTGAAATGGCAAATTTAAAAACACTCGTTTTTCGAAGGGTTAGATTGATTTCGCAGAGAAACTGATCGAAATTTCCATCGTAATTTCCCGTTTAAATAACTTAAATTGGTAACGATCGTTGAATATTTTAATTATAATTAAATAGTATAAGTGAAAAAAATTATAAATTAGTCGTTTAAATTTTTATAATTTATAATTTTTTTCATGCTGTTTAAATTAGAAACGTAATGATAATGAAATATTTTAAAATTATAATTACGAAATGATTAATGATAAGTTTGTGATAGTAAACTAAATATAATTTAATAGGCTTTAAATATAATCGAGTTTTAAAAACTTGTAAATAGCTTAAAATATCCTGTAAATTTCATATTTCTTACAAAAATTTTTCTATATGTAATGTTTTTTAAAATAAATTTTACTTTAGTTAAATTAATAATGAAAAGAAAAATTCGTAAAACGAAGAAAATAAATGATTTCTCTTTATTTCAATCTCGAAGGACCAATTAATTATTGTTTGTCGTTTCATTTGTAAAATTCAAATTATATAATTCTTTGTTTGAATGAATAATTATTATTTAGCTTTTTAAAAAACTATAGACATAAGTATACCTGCTTTTTTATTTTTTATTTTAAAGAAACTACAATTTATGAATTTTTTAAGAAATTTTAGAAGTTTCAAGAAAGAAATTATCTGTTATGACTTTTCCTCATTTCCTCCAAAAAATATGTAAATTTTACATATAAAAAGGAAAAAACCGACACGCAGCATTAAAATTAATGATAATATTTTTCAATTATAAAACTGAGGTGTCACATAAAAAATATTAAGGAAAAAATCAGAACTTTTATATAAATTTATTATCGAATTTATCAAAATTATCACTTTCCAAATTTAGCTAAAATATTAATAATATATATTACATCATTTCGATTTTTATAACCTACTTTCTATAGGACTAATTTTCTAAACTATAGATTACGACTCCTTATTATTGTATTAATAATTTAACATACTTTATGCATATTTTTATCAATTGTAATCTCTACTGAGATTTCAAAAGGTTGCTTGAGTGTGAAATTTTCGAATTTATTTCCTGTAAAATCTTTCCTGTATCGTTATTTAAGATATTATCCACAAGAAGATTATGTTAATAATGAAATTTTAAACGAGATAAAATATCTCCACTTTTATTTAGAGTAATTCTATATTACACAAAATTAATCATACATTCGAATACTTTAACTATTTAGAGTATAACGTAGCCATTTGCTATTTAGAATGGGTTAATCGACTTTTAGATAGCTTAAGCTAAAGTTTCTAGCGACTGATTCTCAGATGAGCTCGTTCATCAAATGCGATGAAAGATGACTATTTCAAAACTGAACATATGCAACATTTCACATGAATTCAAATTAATTTAACAGTTTCTAAGTCACTGTAAAATGATGATATATCTCCATCCTTTTAATTTTCATACTAATAATTTGCTTTAAAATCGTTTTTCTTCCTCTTTTCTCTACTGGATTTTTAAAACTTTATCGTTAACATTCATTAATTTGCATTATAATAATGACTATTATTAATGCTCATCTTTAATGTATAGATTCTTCTCATAAACATTAATAAAGGAATAATATAATTAGGAATAAAGGTATATTCGTAATTATATTATAGATACTATTAATGCGTTATGCTTGACAGATAATCATACGGGGACCTTCATAAACCATTTATTTATGGTGCATTCGAGCATATTCGTGTATATTTTAGATGTTTGATGAAGCGAGCACTTATCGAAGTAATGTTATTCATTTCACACTCGATGATTATAAATATATAACTTCATTTTCTGCAATTTCCGTTCAAACAAAACTTTTAAACAGGTTTGAAAATTTTATAACATCGCTATTATCGTCTTTTGGGATGGGAACAAATGTTATTAACGGGAATAAATTTCTTTTAAAATTATTATAAATAACTTTGTTTTAATTATAAAATTGTTAGGTAAAATTAAATTTTAAATGAAACTTGGAGTAATTAATTTTTTAAGTTTAGTTACGAAGCGAATATTGCGTGGCTACTTGATTAAGTTGGATGAATTGCACACGAATGAAATGAGATGTTACAAATACTTACTGTCTGCACAATCGGGACCAATGTAGCCTGGGAAACAATGACATTTTCCTAGGTGACAGTTACCGTGTTCATGACAATCATTGGGACACGTCGTTGGAATGTCACCTGCAAATCGAAAACAATAAAAACAATCTCGGATGAGATGTCTTATTATGTATTTACATATTATTATTATTATTAAAAGTGCATCGCTCGTAAAATTACAATTTTCGAAAGTACGTTATCAAGCCGCTGGAAACTGGAGTAATGAAGTTATGATTCGTTTCACATGAAAACATACCAATTTAAGTAGATTCGCATTTATGGTATTTCTAGATTGTAAAGAGAGTTTATTAGACGAATAATAGCCAAGTTTATTGCATTTATTTCATTTTTTCTTGCAGTTTTGCCGTAACGTTCGACCAAAGGATTTCGCTTTTATAGTTTAGATTAACTAACCATTTTTATCTTTTTAAGATTATGGATCCGAGCAAGGTTTATAGCTATATTTCTTTGTATAAAACTTATAAAAGTTCTCAGCTATTTTTTACATTAAAGTTTTAATATTTTTCAAAATAAATTTCGATTTAAAATAAATTTAAATGGCTGTTTAAGGTTTATTTAAACTTTTTGAGATTAAACTCGGACAAAATGTGGTTAGTTATTATAAAAAGCCAGAAGTAAATATAACTCATTTCGAGAAATAAATTTGTTTTGGAGTTAAAAATAAAAATTTATTTTTTAAAGTTACAACTAATTTAAATTCAGCAGATCGATATCACGTAACATCTAAAAGTATTATTTTAGTTACACAATAAGAGCTAGAGTAACAGTAAATTTTCTTATCGTGTTTAAATTTAGTAGAGATAGGAGCATTTCTCCTTCATTTATTTAAGACAATTGATACCCTCATGCTGTCCGAGATACCACATTTCTTGCTTAATTGAAAACTAACCAATTATCTCCAAAAGTTATTTTCTTCAACAAAAACATTAAAGAACACAAGTCAAACCAATAATCATTAATTAGTCTAAGATAACAATAAAAGAATTGATCGAAAAATATATATAAAATTCTTTTTGATATTTTTATCGATTTACTTGGCATTTTTCATTGAGATAGCGACTTTAATAAGTAGGAGACAAATGGATTGGTCTACTTATTAAAGAAGAGAGTTTAGTAAATTACAGTTAAGATGAAAAAAAACATTAATTTTCTCTTCTGGCGATTAATTAAAAATATTAACGAAGGAGGAAAAAAATAAAAAGTATAATCGTTTCTTCACACCAACTTTATTATGTTTGGAAACTTCTTTACTAACAAGAGAATAAAAAAGTTATATTTTTCTCGAGAGGTTTAACTCTAGATTACTTGTACTGATTATTAATTAATATGTTAGACTGCTGATAATTAATTTACACAATTTCTATGCCTTCATAATTAACCAGCCATAAAAGTAATTTGTTCTTTTATCTCCGTGATTGTTTTGACTTGTATTTATCTTGCTATGCTAAGAACATGTTGAATTAGTTCAGTAAATTGTCTCTTCCCGAAATAATTTATTCATTTGCCACTAAGTTTTCGAATGAGACTCTTAAGAGATTAAGTCTCCTATGATTCCCTATTGTTTATTTATTAATGCAATTAACGCCATATTCAAAGCTCGATTCGCCGTGTTTTTTTCATTAATCAAGGTTATTTTAAATTGCTAATTATAATTATTTTGAGAAATAAATTGAATAAAATCCTTTTAATTAAAATTGAAATTTTAATTCTATCAGCTAAATAGAAAATACTTACGAGCAGCTGTTGGGTGAAAATTTACAATAACGGCTTTACTATCGTCATTTATAATGGATATGTACCAAGTACCGGGGTCCAGATGATGTAAAAATTTAACTTCATCGTGTTGCTGAAAGGTTAATCAATTTTGTAAGTTCTTTTTTACTTTCTCTAATCAAAATTCTACAGAAAAATAATTTTCTTATCAAATTCTATTCTTAAACTCTAAAAAAGTATAATAAATGAATAGTTAAAATCCTAATTTACAATTCAAAATTCATTTACAGTATATAAAGGCTTATAAATATTAATTTCTAATATGATATTTATACTTGTAAAAATAATCAAAATGAACGGAAAATTAAAACAGAGATAATTTTATTTAATTGGAGTTAATTGTGATATCAATGGGTAAATTGAATAATGCATATGATGCAACTATCGTATAATTTAATTATGCTTATGATACGTTAAATAAAAGGCAAATTAAATTTTCATATGTTGACCTATTTTATTAGTTTTCTGCAAATTGGATATGACTGAAGTCAGCATAACAAATACATTAGCTGTGAATTTAAAAGGATCATAATTCTTGATTATAGCAACAAAGTCCGCTTTACTTGTTCAATATATTTGCTACTATACGTCAGAAATGAGCGAAATTTTCAAAGATTCTGTCCATTGACTTTAATTCCTACACCTATCAGACTTCAACAGTTATATTTTCTAACAAATAGCTCTATCTATCAGGATGAAGTAGGAAATTTACTATTGCACTTATAGTTTAAATCAAAAACTGCAGCAACGTATCCGACGTCCGAAACACTTACACACTTTGTAATTGCCTCGATTTTCTTGGATTAACTTATTGATTTTATATTTTTAACTACCATATTCAGAGATCGGCAATTTATCATGCTTTTTTCTCAGTTAAACTGTGTTATTAGAGAATCCTTTTGCAGAAATTATTAAATTAATTCTTTCGATTCATACTCAATCTCAGCTGTCATGCGATATTAAAAATTACTGTTATAAAAGTGAAAGAGAAGTGTCAATGGAATCTCTCAACGAAAAAGAAGAAAAGAATTGCTAAAACCACAGATCTCCCGCCGAACTAATGTTACAACTTCAATTTCTGAAGAAAAAAAACTAACACATCTTTAAAAAAATCTCAAGTAGATATGAAAGAAGTTCAATAATAGATAATAAGTTGGACAAGGTAAAGATTTTTTAAGTTTTGGATGAGATAATTCTTTAGACCGACCGTCGTGGACCTATCAAGTAAGTCGAAATTAGATCAATAATTTAGAAAGAGTTTTGCCTGACTGCTTTTTATCACAACAATCAATACTGGAAGATTTTAACCAAGAATTCTTTGCCTGGCTTGTAGAATGAAGATCTTATGGAAGCTAGACACAAGAACAAGTTTTTTCTTCCATAACTTTTCTAACGACAAAGGAGCAAGATTATTTGATTCGACTTTTCCGATAGTGAAAAAAGAAGTCATAGAAAAGCACCTTTGTATTGACCCAATGGGTAATTTCACCAGATGTAAGGATGCCGAAGAAAATCTTGATTGTTCGTTTTCGCTCCTGTTAACTGTCCTAGCACACATTTATGGTTTCTGCAGGGAACATGTTTCTTAAATAAAAGTTAGCGGAAACAATTGAATTTAATGACTCAATCTTCTCTACTGAAATTAGACATTGCTTACTTTCTTTCGTCAATAGTTTGGTTGAAAAAAAAATCTAAAATGCCAAATAGCAATTTTAATTCGGATATTCGCTATATTAATTAAAACTAGTGATGAACAATTTCTTTTAAAAAGCTACTTCTTAAATTATTTATATAATTTTAATATTTCAAATTCAGTTGATCAAATCTTAAATTAATTTTAAGACGCATTTAATAAAAGTTCAATTTTCTTCTTATCTGAGTTAAATTTACTTATTAAAACTAAAATTTTTCTTATAAGTAATTAAACTCAAATGAAATATTTTGATGTAATTAATATTAGTTAAGTAATGTTTCTCCACATCTAAACATTTCAATATTTTTTAAAACATTTTTAAAACTCTCCCTTTTTTCTATTTTTCAAAATTTTTAATTAACGAAAAATTTGATAACGATTTAATTAATATTTCAATCGTAATTCATGTTTAAATGATGATAAATTGTTAATCATTTCAACGTCTGTGAAGGGATCATTTCTAATCATAAAATTATAACTAAAATATTTAGAAAATACTCACTATCGTGGCTCTTTTGTACAATCGGTGCTCATCGGCTATCACCTCCATAATATCATAAGCAGTAATTGAAGGTGGTTCGTTCTTCCTTGCTAAAAAAGCTAGTCGAGTACCGTGAGAAACCGAAAAGTTGAAACGAACAAAAGTAGATTCTAGTTGACTAAACCAAACATTCCACGATTCGTGTGCTGGCAGAGTTTTCGTTAGAACTGTGCCCAATATAATCTTTTTGTAAATAGCCGTGTCCGTTAACCCCACTAAACAAGCAGATTGGGCTGGAAGTCCTATTCCTGATTTTAAAATATATTTTATACATAAAGATATCCTTAAATAGTATAAAATAAATAAAATTTATAACCTTTAATGTTCGTTGGAAGCTCTGTAGGACCTGTAGTACTTCTAGTGTTTTCTCTATCTGAAACAACAATGCACGGTTTGTTGCTTTCTGGATAAACGCTAAGAGAACTCATAGCTGTAAGAGATAAGTGTACATTTTTATATTAATATAAAGTTATGAATTGCAGATTATGTAATTAATAAGAACTTAATTACAACCTGCAAAATAAGTCATTGTTGCCGTTAGAATGGTAGTTACAAATATAAGAACAATGGTAGACATCTTCCAAGAACATCTATGGCTACAAGACTTCTGGAAATGAAACCTCGATGAAGAGATGGCTGTAGATGAAAATGCCGAAGCTGGAGAGAAAGGTTGCCTGACTCTAGCAGGAGCCGTGGCTGGTTGGATAAGTTGAGGATTCACGCAGTTAGGAACAGGTACCATAGGGCCCGTTGTTGAACTAGGCGTGCTACAGAATACTGGTAAAGGATTGCTGTAAGTAGGCCCTCCCGTATTTGGACTACTTGTAGGAGGCGCACTAGGAGTGGCTGTGGTGGCTGTGCTGGTTGCCGAGGTCGCTCCCTCAGTTTTAGGAATTAAAACCTGTTGCGGTTGACTATATATCCTGCAAGAAAAGATATGGATGAAAATAACCTGCGAAGCTAATTTTGAAATTAAACATACTTTGGCAGAAAGGAATCAAGAATTCAAGTATAAATGACAATAATTCAAATGCAAAGATTAGCTAGCAACAATTAATAAATTGAAATAAAGGGTTTTGTAACTTTATGCAATAAGATTTTATATTAAGTCTTCATTCATATTATTTTGCTTAAAAATTTTTTCAAGAGTTTGCTTTCATAATATGAATATAGAACATGGTTGATTCCTGCCAATAAAATTATTTCTAGGAAATAAATTACAATGGACAAGAATTTAATTAAGAAAATAATAACGTAATTAAATAAAAACCAAAAATAATGTATTCTACATAAATGATAATTTGATTTTAATTTTACCGGTTTTGAAAATGCGACTTGTTATTATGATGAATTTGTAAAAATGTCAAATGGAGCGAGAATTCTGAATATGCAAATATGCCAAGAGGAATAAAGAAATAAAAGGAAACGGTCGAATACCAAATCAAGAGAGAACACGACCAATATATCCCGAACAACAGATTGACTTGGGACAACAAAACACAAAGCGCATTTTCGATGTCTGGTGTCATTCAACCCGCATGCCAATCTTTTATCCATTCTTTTTGTTCGCATCACTTCGTTCTCTAGCTCTTAATACCTTTCCGTCGTCCAAGACATAATTCCGAATTCGCCATCATCTCCTACCTTTCGTTATCCGTCTTATTTAATTTGTTGATATTCGTTCTTCCATCTTCACCGGTGCAAGATGGCGCCGTTGCATCAGGAACCGTCTGAGTTGGATTTAATGTGGAAATGTCTGCCAAAGAAATCCCAAAGTTAGGATTGAATCGATCGAGGCACAAATAATTTTTTCAAAGTGCATATATAATCCAATACGGAAAGTAATTTATTCAAAATGTCCTATGGGTGATCGATTCGATCGAGAATATAAGGTATTTAAAATTTATTCAAATCTCCCTAGAGATGAAGCACACTTGTGCATTCGATTATCCGCTTAAGCTCTTACCTTGTGATTCAAACGAAGATAATCCTCCTGACAGCATGTTAGGTAAATAAGGTGGTTCTGATTCGCATTCGCTTTCTAAATATCCCAATCTGGGCCTTCTTCCCAGTGCTTCGATATGGTAAACTGGAGGAGTGGTTCTAGAAGGGAGTGTACCGGGAGCGGGTTCGGGAGGACTATCACCAAACACTATAAATAAATATAATAAATGTTAAACTTCGACAAAAATAACCCAGAATCACTTTTATTCGACGCAGTTAAGTAATATACGAGTATATAATTTAATTTATTATTTCAGAAAAGGCCTACTCATTTTCAGAGAGATCTGAGAAATACCATATCCAATGACTACTGAGAGAGAATTTACTAATCGTGTTACACATTTATTTAAACAACTCAAATAACGAATAATTATTCCCCAAGGAAAAGAAAACACAACTCCATTTAGCAGCCATTTATCCTATTAAAACGAATGAAACAAAAATAAATTTCTAACTAATTATCATCGTACCATCACTTGGTGAAATGTTGATACTTTCCATTTTCTAAATCATGATATTTATTAAATTATCTTTCGTCTGGAAGAAAAATTTTCATTTCGAATTTTCATTGTCACAAAAAAAAATAAAAATTAAATTCGAAAATTTAGTCAAGAAATAAAAAAATCTAAAATAATTTGCCTTAATTGATGCAATATTTTTATTAATATACGAACTTTTATTTCTTTTTTATTAATAAATTTCACTATTAAAAAATTGATATGAATTTTTTAAAGTTAAATAATTTATGTTTCCTTTGTGCTTATGTTCTTTTATTTAATATTCTACAAAACTTTCTCGAGCCAGAACTATTAGCAAAGCTTTCTACTCGGACGGAAGTTTAGCATTTCAGTTCATATTAAGTGAAACAACTTTTTTTTGTAGTCTTTTGGCCGGGACAATATCGACTATCGGTTACTTTTGTCAGATGGACATGACGGATTGCTCTCGAGTGGAAACGTCACTTTAATTGACACTAGAAGGCGTTGACTTTATCCTTGATTTTTTAAGAAAAATATATAACCGTTAATCGTTTATATATATATATTTACAAACGCGCAGCTATTTAATCCACTAATTACTAAAAGTTAATGTCGAAAGCATTAACTTTTAGTGCTTAATATTCTCAAGAGAATATTTAAGATAAGTATTCAATATTTATCATCGAAATATTCTCTGTAATACTTTTTAAAAATCGAGTGTTATACTTTTGAGCCTGTTTACGTGTGTAGACTTCTGCTAATATCTAGATGAAAATGATAACAATAATTGTATTTCTTTATCTTGGTTTAATTTCCGAACATAAATCCAGCATCTTTTATCAGTTAATGTTCTCTACTTAACGCTTAAGTTACGTCAAATTTAATTTTGTTAAATAATAGTTTATCAAAAAAAGAAAAAAATCTTGTTTAAATGGTTATTTCGTTGCAATTTTTGATGCTATTTTAATTTATTCTTGTTTAGATTTAAATTCAATTTTAAAAGGTTAATGACATCTGTAAACGAAAGAAGAAAAAGAATTAAAAATGAATGATGTGGGATTTAGAACTGTAACAATTTAAAAATTTTAAATCTGCGATACGTTCACACATAAAAATATAGGAAGGGAATTAGTTGCACAAATTTCATCTTAACACCTGCCTAGCTTCTGACTGAGGAAAAATATATTATCTTTTATCTGCGAAAAGAGGAAAAAAAATCGGGTAGGGTTGAGATGGGAAGAGAAAGATGTAGCAGAATAGAGCATCTGAACATTCCCAGACCGTTAGTTTGGTTGCAGGTGCTTCTTCTCAGCCTACTTCGTCAGTTGTGTTTTTATTCTATTGATCCACCTAAGGGGATTCACAGTCTTTCTCCATAAGCATATATCTGACTATTGATCATAACATAATTATTCCACTCTCTTGGTCTCCTTGATCTGCGCTGCTTTCAATGACTATATTAAGATCTGTGTGAAATCTCTTACTAAAAATTTATTGATTCTACGCCTCATTCACCTACATCAATGATTAACATTACCATCTTTTTCGAGTTTAAAAATCTATAATTCAATATACATCATTAATTATTATTAACAGGGAAAGCAGTAAGTTAAGCAATTAATCCTCTTAATGTATTTAATTGTTATTAATTATTTTTATGATGCCAAACAAGGAAAGAAGACTCTAACATTACTTACGACAAGAAAATGACACAAACAAGAATTTTTTCCTTCTGTCTTTGAACATAAAAATATTTCCAGAAAAATGAATTTTTTTTTACTTTTTTTCAATTTTATTTTAGAAAGCGTGTACACTTTATTACCAAAATTCTTTATCGCAATGTTCTATTAAGATAATTAAAATGTCACAAAAATGTTAACATCTAGAATTCTTTTTGTTTCAGCTAAAAAAATTTTATAATGTTGAATAAATATGAAAAATACGAATATAACTTTTAGAATTTTGCAGTCAAATTTACTAAATACATGCGATATATATACATATTTTTTTATTGTGTTAATATATGCATTTATATATATATATAAATGCATATATTAACATAATAAAAAATATTTAAATATCTAATTTGTTTTGCGTTATTATGAAGAGCCAAGAGAATTGGCACAAAACTTTAAGTTAGAAAATAAAATAAAACCAGACGAAATTTTTTATAATATTAAAATAAAAACAAAATTATAAAAAAAATTATTAAGAACAAACTACATAGAATACTTAAATTTTTAAAATAATTTATACGAAACATGCTTTGCATGAATATATGAATCTATAAAAATTTCATCACTGAAGGGAGAGAGAGATTCGCATAATCATAATCTTTAGTAAAAAAAAAAAAAAAAGAAGGTAGGAAGCAAAGTTGCTGCTTTCCACTGTAACTGATATTGCTATCCTTTGATATTTATAAAAATGCGAAAGGACTGTTAAAATTTGTGTAAAGATTGCAGAATAAGAAACGAATAAGATGAAATCAATTCATCAATGAAAGAACTTTTATGGAATTTTAAAATATTTCAGTAACTCCTGAACAAAATTTAATATATAATTTCAATTGAGAGGAAACCTTATTAGCGGTTATTCTTATCCAGATCAGGCATTTTATTCAGAAGAAATTTCATCCGTTTCCCGTCTTTTATGCGATTATATCACATATTTTATCATGTCTTATTCTTCCGAACGATATAATAATTGATAGCATTGAGATTAAAATTCGAGTAAAAACATTTCCGACATTATTTTTAAAACATAAAATAATGAAAATTTTATAAACTTTTACATTTAATACTAGGATATATTCAGATGAAGGTATCATTTTTCAGGAGAATGGAGTTTACAGTATTTGGAAATCAATCTTGTATAAGAAGTCTAGCAAAATGCCCAATCGATTTGGATAGCGATCCAACACCATCTACAGTAAAAGTAACAAGAAAATAAAATGAAATTCGAATTTTAACAGAGAATTAAGTATTTTTAATGGGAATTGATATAATACGGTTTGGTTGTTTCATTTATTTTAAATAAATAATTAATTAAAAATATAAGAATTTAATTAAGTTAAGTAAATTGAAAAAAATTAATTTCAGATTATTATTTTATTAAAGAAATAGATATTTTTCATAATAAAATTCCCATATTTTCTTTAATTATTTATGAACTTGTTTAAAATTAAATATGCTCGAGATACGTGTAGAAAATAAATATTAACAAATATCTTTCATTTAAAATTTTTCTACGTGAATCAAATAAGTATATTTTTAAATATTTAATATAATAAATATTTTATTATTTCTGATCGTTAAATTGAACTTTTCATTAAGATTGAATTAAATTTAGTAAAAGGAAACAAGATTCAAACTTAGTAAAAGTAATTAAAGTTTTACATATTTTATTTGTATACGTTAAAAATTGAAATTAAATAAATGTCACTAACAGAACTTACTGAAAAATACGATATATCCGGGATGAAATATTATAACATTTGCATAATGACGCATGTTTCGCGATATTCGTTAAGTAGTCTAGTTAAAATCCAGTCGACTTTTTCACTTTTTATGAGACTGTTTTTTTAGTACTTAAGTAGTATATTCTTAATATAAGTTATCCGGACAACTAATGAACGGCGTAAGAAACGTCGATCAAACAATACAAAATTAAATTGAACAAGAACTTAACAGTGTTTGAGAGAAGGCGTTACTGACATCAGTTACTTTGTCCATCGATCTATGGCTTGTGTTTTCTCCCGGTGCTAACTCCATCGAGCTGTGAAAGGGATGCGCTCGAAAATCTATCTCGTGTTTTCTCTTCTCTTCTGTGGGATCGAATACTAAAACCTTCGCTACATTTTCCAATTATGAAAGCGAAGGAAAATTTAGACCCACACCCGTAATGTCAATATTGACCTTAGGGGTCGCTAATCAAAACACACGCGTTACTCTAAGGTTTCCTTACGAAGGACGTATACCTTCTGACAACAAGAGTGCTGAAATGAGATACTTCTCTTTACAAGTTCGTTAGAAACATTTTTGCCTCCTTTTTTCATCTTTTCTTATAGATGCGTCTATGCAGCTCTTGCGATGAGTCGATTTTTTTTTGACTTGAAAATTGTTTTAATGCGAGTAATATTGAAATCCGAACATCATCCAGAATTTATGTATACGTTTATGCATTTATAAATCATATTTATCTATCATTTTTCTTTTTTTGAAAAGGTAAGAAGTAGAGTTGTGGTGGCCTAAACGATAAAAAATTGCAATAAAAGAAGCTTTATCAGCAAAAAGTAAGAAAATGAAACAGTAGTTTGAAAGATCTGAGGATTCTGAAACTCTGATAATGATTATCGGTGTCCTATAGATTTCAATTAGAGTGAAAAGTGAAAATGTAAGGGTTATATTTTAAACACGATACTTAAAATTAACAGAAACTATGGAAACTTTAGTTTTTCTGTTACGCTGCATCGATTACCATTGCATTACACTAGATTCTAATATTATGTATTCTATAATCATTACGATATTTTTACCCAAAATTAATTAAAGTAGAAATTACTTATAAATGATTATCCCGAAATCTCTTCGGATTTATATCAATTAAATAAGAAGCTTTTGTCTATCAACGAGAATAAAAACAGAAAGAAATCTTTTTAGTAAAAACTGAAAAGAGACCGTTTTAATTCTTTTAATTCTCTGAGGTGGATTACTTATGAAATATTGAAATACGTGTGCAAAATGGAGATAATGTATCGTGTGCGTCGAATGAATATTTGTTTGAACGGATGATAATATCTAAGGATAACAGCTTAATGCAGAAGAGATCTAGCTAGAAGCAATAACATTTCTGTTACGTAAACTGGCTTAGAGAAAACGATATCGATCAAAGTGCTGAAGACAAAATCGGCTTAAGAGCGTAAAAAATAAAATACAATCTGAAATATTATATTTTGATATATTTTGTGAGGTAATCTGTAAATAGCATCGAAAATGATGGAATGATAAAAATGCCAGACAAAGTACCTAGTGGTTTGGATGTAACATAAAAGTAAATATAAATAAATCTGATTTACTAATATTTCGATGCATCACTCAACCATAATGGAGTACGAGGTTAGATTTCTCTATTTATCAGAAGGAATTATCGTATGATGTTTACTGCCTGAAATGAATGGAGTGTGGTCAGATTGTACCAAACAACATTCACGCTTAGATTCTGAGCAAACAGTCATTTCCAAGTTGGCTATCTGTGAATGGAACTGCTGTGTCAATAGTTCTGCTGCAATATGAAATTTCATTTTCTATTCTCAGACCCTTCATTCCCCGACATCACAGTCGTGTCAACAAGAATTGAAATTATCGGATTACGTCACTGCACTCGCTTGTATAAGAGTGACGCTACCAATACTTTCTCTTCGAATATATTTATGCAAAATTATAAACCCGTTTAATGTTTTATTTGCAAATTTCTGAAAGATTTTAAACCGTAATTACTTTTCGTCCATGCAACACTTAGGCAAATAGTGTATAATAGCTAATTTTGTGACGTTCATGGTCAGACAAGTAGACTACTTAATGTTACATTTACGTTCGGTAGATAATAGAGTAAATGCCATTATTTTGCAATTTAAAACATTTTTATGAAAGAATTATTTTGAATCTCCAGACAAAAATTGACTCATTTTAATTAGTATTTAGTAATTGAAAGCATCTGCCACGCTCCGGTATAAATTTAATTTAATTAATTTTGAAGACAAATAAGAATTAAATGTAGATGAGGGTTTTGTGAAGTGGATATTAAATTTTCTTACGTATCGGCAATTAATTTGATTTTATAGCGTTTAATTTTAATTAGAATCGAGATGTTTATTGGAATTATTATTATTATTTATTAAATTTTAACACAAGATGATTAATATTAAACGACAAAAGGACAATATTGCTACTGTTCGAATAGGTCAAACGTGCAATTATATTTACGCTGGATCTAGTAATTTGATTAAAGAATGGCTAAAAATAAAGAATAAAATCACCATTTTGACCATCTAAGGCTCTTCTTCTGGCGAACGGTTCCGAATCGGTATAAGTAGCATCGGAATTGTTATCCGACGTGGAAGATGAAGAAGGTCCTCTCCTTAAAGAAAGATAAAGGCGTCCCCTGGAGTTATTATTAATATTGGCAATGTTTCTTTGACTATCCCTGTTTACTTCTTGTTCTCTGGTTTGTTGATTGTGGCTCTGGCGAGGGAGAGAAGCGTACGATGGATACTGCATTTGCTTTCCCGTTAATATTACATTTCCATCTCTCTGTGTTTGCCCGTAACAGTTTTCGGTTTCCATATCATTATCAGCTTCTCTGTATCCTTGAAAATTTCTGGCAGGAAGAAGCTCTACACTACTGTGACTGAATGATCTACCACTACTATTGCTTCCGTTGGCTTTATTTCCGTTACCTCTGCCTTTTCCTCTATCTGAAAAATCAATATTAACAAATGCATGATTTCACATTATAGAATATATTGAAAAATTTTATTTTTTTATTTTTATACCATACATAACATATTTTTATATCAATAGAAGTAAATTTAAATTTGGAAATGTAATAGAAAATATTGGTTGACGGTTATCGAAAAGATGGATATTTCAATGAATATCGATTTTTAGTAATTTCGCTAGTTTAAAGTTAACATTTAGGGAATTGAAGAAGTTTTTATCGTTTAAGAATCGACCGAGATATCGATAGAAAGCTAGTAAAGAACGAGTGGCTACCAAGTCTTATTGAGGGATAACTAAATCTTAAATCGTTATTAGTTTCTGCTACATTACTCCAAGCGTTTTATTGATATTGCCTTCGAAATTCACTTCTTATTACAGTTTACACTCGCTTCTTATGCTAGAATATCATAAATTGATATTTCTATATGAGTAATAATTTTTCTATAAATTGTTCTCAATGAAGAAAGTGCTTTAATAAAAATGAAGGCTTTTTTCGACTAGTGCAATCTTTCATGTATGGCTATTTATTTTTTTATATAGCTCTCAAATCATTTGAGCAAATACAAATGTTTCGTTCCAAATAAAATAGGTCAGCTGAGTAGGAAATTTATAGCAAAATACGTTAGAAACAACGAATTATTTGAAAATGCCATTATCAAATTTTTATCAATCTACAATAGAAAATATCTACTCGCTGTCAGCCGATATATTCTATCAATTCCATCAAAAAAAAATTTGAACGTGACCAAAAAATAAAAATTCTTGTATCAAATCAGATAACAATTTTGAGACTGACATAAGGAAAGATTGAGTAGAAGTATCTCAAATCATTTCTTTTAAATTTAAAACCAATGTTGTCGAGAACTATAAGCATTTGGTATATTGGGCAAAGTTTGAAAATCGATCGAAACAGACCAGAATGATGAGCGTGTCAATGATTTGATTGATTCGATCATCCGAAATACTTTACGTTTCAAAAAGAATAGTACATCTGGCTTGGACTACGATAGACAGGTGAGATATAAAGGTGTTTTATATCAACATGTCTCAGTTTGACAGCTTTCTAACGCGCAACTTGAAAGTAAGCAAAATATATGTGTTTTTCATCGATTCTTGTCGAAACTGTCAGACTTACAGTTTCAACCAAATCGTTATAATATATGCTCAAAATGGCTGGCCGACGTAAAGCAAAAGTATTTAACAAATTTCCAAGCATTGATCCGACAAAAATTACATTTTGCATCACGAATTTCTGTTTGACTATATTTACGACCTAATTTGACTAATCAATTATCAATTAAGCTAAAATTTTCACAAATAATGAATTGAACAAAATTGCCGAAGTAATGATTATAAGTGTTGCCATGACATATAGGCAAACATTAATTAAAAATGGTTGCGAGGCAACTAATACACACAACAATAAGCGAATAAAGCTTAGAAAACATTTACACGAGCCGAAAATTTTCGAGTGTTCGGTTTAAAAATATTTTTCCATTTTATTTGGCGTTTTTAATACAGTATTTTAATAGATTTAAATCGTTCTGGTTATTTTTAATGTAAGAAAAACTCGCAGAATATTTAAAATTCGTCTTTAAGTCATCTCTTTTTAAGGAACGGGTTCGATGGTAAGAAGAAAAGAGCGAGGACTTTTACATTCCTCACTACTCCTTATGACTGCTGTTGCGTGATGCCGTTCACGAGAAACATGAATTAACGAACTTGTCAGAGAGAAAATATTCCATCGTCACGCCTGAAGTATTTACCTTAAGCGTATCCGTAAATGTTTCATTTTGATGCTTAGGAACATTTATAATGAAAGCGGTGTGTGACATTGCATAAAAGACCAAACATCAATTAACGAACTTAATAACTTCATAAAAGAATTTTTAATCCCGAACTTATAATTTAATATTGATTACGTTTAAAACTTATTTTAAAATATTAAGACGTACAAAAGTTTAGTCTTGGCTATTTATCTAAGTAAATATTTTAAAATAATACTTCTTGAGATTAGTTGTAGCCGGCGCAATTGTCGTGTGCCCGATAGAATCTAGATTGAATGAATGCTTTTGGTCTCGGCAGCATTTATTGAATGTCAATTGAATGTCATGCTCAACCAGATGTATAGTGAAATATTGCTGTCTGTGCACGAAACTTTTTCTTAGGTTTACGTTTGTGCCGATGACTTTCCGGTTGGAAAATCTTAAGAGACATTGTAGATGGTTACGATTCCAACTTTCTGGAAAAGTCTTTCATATATCATTGTGGTATCACAACCGTTCTCGGTCGGAAATGCTATTTTGAACAAGAACACGTTTTCTTCCTAGATTTGAATAGTTAATAAATCCGGTTTTTCTTCCGAAAATTTTATTTTCCTGCTTATAAATTATTAAGGAGGTTTTATTTAGTAGCTTAATACAGATGAATGGAAATAAATGAGTATAGCTGCAGCTTGAATGCAATAAGTATTTAGGTCCTAGAAGAAGAATATCTCCGTCACTCGCTAAGTCAAACAGATGAGAATTGGAGACTCTTGGGTGTGAGATATCTCAACTAAAATTGTTAATCCTACTAGTTTCCTATATTTTGCTTTTCATTTCTTTCTTGAAGGTCGATCAATTCTAATATGAAGAGTTTGTATATATGTTACAACTGTAGAAAAAACGACATAAAATACAAATTGGTAATACAATGTGTACCAAATTTGAATAACCTTTTCTTCTAAAACTTAATATTATAAATAAATGACAAAAATTATGTTATACATATTATTTAATAATAATTTCAGCGAAATTTTTTAAAGTTTTCAATAAACTAAGTAATAAATAATTGCAATAAATTATATTTACATTAAAAAAATTATTCATTTAATAATATACGTGACAAATATTTAATGATAAAACTTGAAATCTATGTAATAAATTAGCAGTAAATATATTTAAAAAATTAAAAAAAACCACTTTCTTAATCGAATTTAATTAAATTTCATACATTAAGTTAAATATAGAAGTAATAGCCTATCGCCGAATACATTACTTACTATTAGCAAAATTTTTATTTCATAATGTCAAGATATATTCGATTTTTAAATTATAAATCATGGAATAAAAAAATGTAAATAAAATATTTATAAAAATAACAGTGTTTAATATTTTTATAAAGTTTAAAATTTCAAATATTGAAGAAAATAGCAACATATTCAAAGAAGGAATAGCACATTAATACATACTACGAACAAACTGGTTTCTACAATATGTTGACAGTAATATGACATGTGGTAGGATTACTGACATGAAGCACGCAATGCCCATGTACCTGCCAATTACTTGCTGAAAGACGATGATAGAATTTGGATCCAGCTTAAATCTGACAAACATGAACCATTCTTTGTCTAGAGAACGATGTAACCATAGTAACTTATTGATGCATCAAAATGTCAACTTCGACCTGAATGTCGAAGAATAATGCTCTAGGAACTAAATGCTAAATGACAAATTTTGTTATCTAATGTTATTGATCTTTTTGTTTTCTAATCACGTGTACAGTACAATTAAACGTACAGTTTTGTTTGAATTCGTGATGGCCAAACAAATTCAAAAATAATTGTTATTCTAATGATATTCAAAAATTATAAAAAGTATTTTGTTTTTTTTGTTCATGTAGGCCTAAAGAAGATATAATGGCATTTATTTTTTTATGAATAAATAGAAGAGACCAGTTGTTTTTCTGAAGAGAATTCGTTAATTGACTGTTAGCGTGATTCAAAAAGACTAAAGGAAGATCGACCAATAAATGAGACATCACAAGAAAAAGCAGATATCGGAAAAGAACATGTGGAAGACGGATTGCAAAGGGAAAATAGTCACGTGGATTAAGCATTGATTGTGAATTGATATAGAAATCGAATTGTCTAGAAAACGTACGCTACAGATTACAGTAATTATGATAATTCAAACATTAAAAGCAACAAAGACTATCGAATATCCATTTTGAGAGATGCAATGACATCGGATATTAATCCATAAGAATCTAAAAGATTAGATAAGGGGAAGTTCTTTTATGTATTCTCTATGGTTTCAATTCTTCAATAGTCTAAGAATGATATTAAGCCTATAAAAAGTCTTCGATTCCATGCAATTGAAGCTTTAAATATATGAACATTTTATCGTTTTATTTAAATTATGAAATTTTTCAAATTAACGTGCAATAAAATTCTGATTTAACAGTTTTAAATAATGACATTTAAAAGATATAATCAGTCTTAAAAGATGTTCTTTCTATGAGAAAATGTTCAAAGAATATTTGTTAAAACGAATTCAGATAATTCACATAATTCATTAAGAACGCTATACATATACGCCTTAAACGGAATACGGATTATATATAAGAGAATTAAAGGCATTAGTCACAATTAGACATTTATATCTATATTTTTTCTTCGTAATTATAGGAGAGTAATAATTATCACGTGGCAAAGACAAAGATCATTATTGTCCATATGTATATAAATTTAAAAATAATACATTCATTATCAAATAACTGTAATTATACTCTAATAACAAGAATCGTGTAGGCAAGATTAGCATCATTACTGCTTAAGTGCTAAAGTTAAAAATGAGCTTAGTGATCTGTACCGAATGTCAGCTTTTATAATTATATCTATTTATCACGTAATTTATCGGTAATACAATATTAGTCGAATGGAAAGATTAACATTGTAATAAAAGTACTAAAAATCAGAATATATCATTCTTCGTAATGTAGATGATTACTGCGCTTTTTCCTTCATTTTCCGTCACATTGTAAAACAGAAACGTATACCTGTACTTCGCGGAATCATTACAAAGGATCAAGTTGGAATCATGTAAAGAAACATCGTGTTTTCCTATTCATTTTCTATTTTCTTAAAGCACAAAAGTTATCATAATAATATGAAAGATTATTTTAAAAAAAACTTTAGTGTAATATGGAG